CCTATAACACACGACTCCACCACGGGGGCTGGGCCCCTGAGACGGTCTATCATCATTCGGCGTGGACTGTGCAGCGGCAACTACCGGTTCTCTCACCTCAGAGTTATCCTTCATCACGATCCTGGCCCTGTCTACCAGGTCATTAAGGGACAACGAGTCTATGCTTGAGCTCACTCGCAGGAGTTGCTTTGCTCCGGTTGGGAGCCCTGCCAGAAATTTGTATGCCAAGGCCCGCTCGGGCAGCCCACCGAACAACACCGTCAACTTCGTCAGCTCGGTCAGATACACGTAGACAGTTTCGCCTGGACGTAAAGTTCTTGCCTCAAATTGCTCCCTTGTATAGTGCTGCCTTGATTCTCTCATAATCCTGTTTTTCCTCAGCACTGAGCTGTTGATACACAGCGAAAGCCCCGCCGGACAAACGCAGAGGAATGACGTGTTCAATGCTCTTTACGCCAGACAAGAGGCAATGCAGTTCCACTTTTTCCACCCAGTCAAGTACCGGGGTTGAGCCATTGAATTGCGGTATCAATTTCAGGTCGAATCTGTCCCCCATTATGCCGAAATAGCTTGTAGATAAAATTAGGTCCAAACAATAGGAAGGGAACAGGTTGGCCTGGCACCGCGTACTTCGGGAAGAAACAAAACTCCTTAGCTTCACGACAGTTTAGCTACAAAATTCCACTGATCTTCCCACTCAATTATTCAAACACCGCCTCGTAGTTCGCTACACACAAAAAACTCCCGAATGGTCTCTTTGGATTGTGCCTGCATGCCAGACACAAACGAACCCTCTTATGTCGAGAGCTAAAGTTAATCTCGCTTTCATGTCCACAAGTTTCATCAGGTTTGGGAGTGAAATGATATGGTGTTACTGTTATATTTCAATTTTCAAATTTGTATGATTTTTTTGCTTTTATTGCTTGAATGGAACATCATGTGTATATTTTGTTTTCATTTTTTTTTTACTGATAGTTCACCAAATGCGAGACCTAAGAGACACTCAAGGTAGAGTGGTATTGAGTCAGATTGTTAAGAAAGGGGGAAGTTAGAACGTATTATGAGGACAAGTAGGATATTGACTCTGGACTTAAAGAGATCAAGATAACAGTTGTCATGGAAGCATTTTCTCGAGAGTATGTTCCACAAAGTAACAGTTCTGTGGAAGAAGCTCTCTGAGTGGAACTTGCTCTTTATCAAAGGAACATGGTGACAGGGTGAGTCCACAGCTGTGAATGTCCAAGATGGTGGGATGAAGCAATGTTAGTTTTGTTTAAGAGTTTAGGGTAAAGAAGGTAAAGTAACACAGGGTAAAAACTAGCTTGTGGATTTAGGGGTTAAATTATTATTTCACATTGCAATGGGCTCTTGTGATATTTTCTCTTAACTATTACTATACTTTTCTTGCCTTATCGCTTGAATATTAATGAAAATCAATGAAATCAGAATATCCAAAATTGATACATATAAGTAAAATTTCACTTATTTTGTATAGTGCACATTATAGTAAGAAAGTTTTATCACTGTTTAGATAGTTTTCAAATTATCATTTTATGTTTATTAAAGTTAAATAAAGTTGCATTTGATGTGCAAATCAGGTATCAGAGTGGTTTTATTATCCTAATTTTAGTTTTTACAATTTACACCACCATGTTACATTGTGTCTCACTGTCGGTTACTTTTTGTCCTACCGGTTGGGGAAAAAAATAACATTTAGCAATTTTTAGTTTTTTCATGTTAACTCATTAAACTAAAATCCAGAAGAACTCATCATAATGTTGATTTAATTTTCATGTACAACTTAAAGAACTGTCCATCTTTAATTATATGGTCGATATGGTAATTTGAAAAATGTTACTGTGTGCTGCTCTATACCCTACTAAAATTGGTTACACATACGATGAATGTTGTGAGTAATTTCTGTTATATCAGGTTAGATCATCTGAAAAAGTATGTATATTGAATGGTTTACATTTTATGAATATAGGTAATATAAAGAAATGTCTGGTGAGTATTTATTTTATGTTCTTTATTTATCTTCCTTAGAGGTATTTTCTTTGTAACGTGTTTTGGTGAAGTTCAGAGACAAATTGAAGATGGAGTTTTCCTTCTTCTTTTTCTATGTGTAATGTTACTTTAAGAGGTTGGCTATCATGGCTCTCCACAATTTCCTATCCTTAATAAATTTTGTCTTTCTGTTATCTCCCCAAAATCTTGGAAAATTCACATGACATTGAAAAGAAAAAGAGACAGAATAAAACAGGGCACAACCTACCAAAGGAGGTTGTACAAATGGATGTCAGAACAGTGTTTGGGAGAGATGTCAAAACAATAAAATTTACTCTAAGCTACAAAAAGGGCAGGAAAATGTGTGTTTACCTACGGAAGATAGAATAAGTTCATACAACACTAGACTGTCACGGAAACATACATTTTAGGCCAGTAAATATGTTAATCTTTTTTTTATGCAAAAACAATTTAAAGAATTGTTCAGAGACCGTGGGAAGATGTCGCAAATATGAATGTTTAATTGTTTTAGTTTGTTTTTCTTTTTAAAAAATGATAAAAATATTCATATTCAAAATTATTTTCTTTTATTGTAATTTGCTTTTAAACTTTTTAAAGCAGCTAAAAATAGATCAAAACGTCGAATTTTCCTATTTGAAAAAAAAAAAAAAAAAAAAAATCATCACATCCCAAGCAAGGCAATAATACCACTAAGCCGCAAGGGGGTTACTGGCGGTGGAAGAGAATGAGAAGACTTTAGTGAGAAAAAAAGACAATAAAAAAACAGATTTCAGAAAGAGAAACTTAGGCGATTGAGGGTTGCATTTAATTTTTTTTAGGATTGTAAGTTGCAGAAAATCAAATCAGAAGAGAGTTCTGCTGGCAAGAAGTTTGTCGTCACAATGTTGACACTTTTTTAATTGGTATTTGCATCGAAGAAAAATAAAATCTAAAAAAAAAAAGACCACTTCAAAGAAAAGGTCAGCAGTCAAGGGGAATAAATCTCTTATGTTTTGTTACAGAGTAATCTCCCTTACCTATATATGTTTTTTTTTAGGTGTTATTTTTTTCGTATACATTTTTAAAGTAAATGATAATATGCAATTGCCAATAGCAGATTCCTTCTTTTATATGTGCTGTGTCTCTTCAACACTCGGGCGATTATGGCTCTCTACAACTTCCTATCTTTCCGCAGTGCCTCACAATCTATGTATTTTTACTAGAACCTCTCTTCCCTGTTCTACCATCCATTATTTACACAAGTATATTAGGTAGGATACTTGATGTTTCAATATGTCCCTCTTGCCTTCATTTTGTGTCTCAGAAATTTAAACTACCTCTTTCTGACTCTAAGTATAAATGACACTTGCTTTTCAATATTTTTAAAACGTTCCTGTTATTCAAAAGCTCTATAGCATTCTTAGCATCTTTCTGTAGAACCATATCTCTGCCGCAAGTCTTCACTTCACCTGTGAGGAAATTGTCCAGCATCCACTAGTAGATAGGACTGATATTTCATGATAGTTCAGCACTCTTTTGCCTTGTTTCTAACAAATTTTTTTCCTGATTCTTAATACTTTGTCGAGTTTTTTGGATGCTATCTTTTGCTATTCTAACTCACCTTCAGATTTTGTTTTCATATTTTCTGTCTTTTACTAAAATACTTTCTAGATATTTAAATTCCTGTACTTGCTTGATCTTGACCTTTCTAATTTGTAGCCCACATCTTTGTCTGTTTCTCTCTCTGATGATAATACATTTTATCTTCTTATAAGTGATAGTTATTCCTTTCTTCCTACTCTTCTTTACTACCTTGTCTAAGAGATCCTATAATTTTCTTTTTGCTTTTGTCATCAGTATGGTATTATCTACATATCTCATACTGTTTAGATTGTGTCAACCAATAATAAGTCCTTATAGGAAATGCCCTTTGGATCACCTCACTCATTAATGTTAAATACATCCAGTGAAAAGATGCATACATGTTCTTATAATATTTATAAATTTTTTTCTTAAAACAGTTTTTGAGGAAAATGGATTTCTCAAGTCCACTTCTTCCCTAACCTTTTAAGGTAGTGTGTAAAACTAACATCTTGATTATACCATTTTTATCTAGTTACGTGCTATCCAATTTAGTTGTTATTGTTTTTTCTAGTATTAAAAGGAGTTTCCTACCTAACTTTTTGTTTTTGGTAGTGTGGAAAGCTAACATCTTGATTATATCATTATTTTATTTTCTCTTTTAGTTACATTTGCTATCCATTTTAGTTGCTTCTACTGTTGGAAGTCTTCAAGTGATGTTTTGTATTATTTGTTATAGCTCTTTGTGATTCTGTAACACCTAAATTCAGTATCTGATGAAGGATTGACTTTAAGATCTAAAGGATACATTCACTTCAAGCCATTTTTAATCATTGATCTGAGGAAATAGTTGTATATAGAATATATGTAGATAATAGAATTGTATTACACTTATTAATATTATTATGTTTTGGTTGATTCTGCTTATGATAATTTTCATATATACAGATGGATAGAAAGAGAAATTTCTTTTTTGTCTCAGTCATACAAAATATATAATGGTAGTAAATAGAAAAAGAAATAGTGGTGAATATGGTGAATAAACCAACCTATTCATGGCAATACATATAACACAAGAAATTCCATACTGATTTGCTCAACACAGAAAATAGAGGTCCTACTCTTTTCATATACATTAAGCAACTGAAGAAAGTCCCACAACATATGAGCTGTTCACTCAAGTGGAAAACTTGTAGGATAATGACTTTTCTCCCAATGACCGAATGTTAGCATTGATGGTGAATCACATCTTTTGCATAGTGTAAAAGAAGAAAAATGCATAACAAGCCATAGTTTTGATCCTTATATAATTGTGTTTGAAATCTCTTTTTTTCAATATGACTTTTTATATTGAAACAAATGAAAGAAAAAATATGATTTTGATGCTTTATTTTTTTTTGTTGCTGATTTAGTTCCATCACCAGTGGTTAATTTGGAAATTACAAAAGTGACAAATACATCCTTAGAATTCAAATGGGAACGACCATGTTTCCCCAATGGGAATATTACAAATTACAGAGTAGAATATTCAAATGAAGGTGGCATGGTGAATCACAATCAAACTATCGCTCTGGCTGGTAAACTGGAAAAACTTCATCCGTATCAAACATACAGTATCAATGTTTCAGCTTGCACCAGATCAGGATGCTCAAAAAGTGAAAATGTCAAAAATAGAACTCTGGCTGGAAGTAAGTATATTTTTAATTATTTACTTTATTATAATGTGTGAGCTGTGGAAGAAAGGTTTATTTCCAGGTTCTAGTTCTCCCATTATTGGCATTATTATATCCATGATAAAATAACACCTTAATACATAGGTGGAAAATCTGGAAGGAAAGCAATAACATACATGATTTGTTTTCAGAGAGAGTTTTATGCTGCTAAGTTATACACACAATTATAAACACATGTCCCATGCAGAGAAGTTATATCACATGTCTACAACAGCAAGCAGGAAGAAAAGGGAGAGACTTACTTGTAATATTTTCTGAAGGAAGAACTGTAGGTACATCAGTTTCTCTATGAACCTGCTGAGGCTATTAGACTTACTGCTATTGGCTAGGGACTTCCTTCTTCTGGTTTTACATCACAACTGCTCTTTGTCACTATCTCCTGATATTATGTGACGCTCATGAGATAATCTCAGCCAAAGGAAGATAATCCTTTTTTTTAGCCCTGCAATTAGAAAGTCAATAATATTAAGACAAAAAACAAAAAAAAAAATAAACTTTTAGGATAGGTTTCTATGAATAGAATATTGATTTTTTTGTAAGAAATCAGTTTGTAGATCAGGTTTTATTGAAGTATTTTTTGTAAAGAGAGTTTTTGTTGAGAGTTAAATCTATTGCTGGTAATATATTTTTTCTTGCTGCTAATACTTTTTTTTCAAGAATGTATTGCTGATAATATTTTTTTTTTAAGAATGTATTGCTGATAATATTTTTTTTTTAAGAATGTATTGCTGATAATATTTTTTTTTCAATGATGTATTGCTGGTTTACTATAAATTATTGCTGGTAATACTTTTTCTTTTCCAAAATGTATTGCTGGTAATACTTTTTCTTTTCCAAAATGTATTGCTGGTAATATTTTTTCTTTTCCAAAATGTATTGGTAATATTTTTACTATGAAAATCTATTTTTATACTTTTATAGTGTCTTGAACCCAATTTGGGGGTTAACTATTTGCCCATAGCTGGGAACTTAACAGCCACATAGTTTCAATTGAAAGAGATTTTCTAATAACTTCAAGAGATTGAAAAAAGATCAATGTGGATCAGATGAACCCTTTAAGGTTGGAAGCAGGCAAATGCATTTGAAAATTTCATGCAATTACAGTCCAAGAATGCCTGCAATCATGTAGCTCTGTACTTCAATGCATAGTGTCAACACAAATAACACGATCAACTAGAGTTAATGGAAATCTAGAACATTTTGGAAATCTACAACTTTGTAAAAGTTGTAGATTTCCAAAAACCATCTCTCCTAACCAGTAATACTGAGAAGGCTACATTTGGTATCATTTGAAAAAGCAAAAGGTTGTATGAGTAGGGACCACTTGACAGCAAATTCAATAGAAAAATATTGTACTTTTAATTTTGAATTAAGAAATCATAGTTCATATTGTTTAATTCCTAGCAAAATTAAGTTGTAGGTGTACAGAAGGTGATTGTCGTATATTTCCACATATAAAATGACCTTTAATTTCTCAAAATCAACCTTAAAAATTGGGTGTTATCTTATATTACAATTCTAAAAAAGAAACCTTGAATTCTGATTGCTATTTGTTTGTCGATAGACTAACATCATCCTCGAATTGATAATCAATAACATTTAAAAAGGATTCACATTATCAAATAAACTGATAATAAAAGCAATAAAACCATTTCTACCTTATATATTACTGGCATAACTTCATAATTTCTTATTCAAAGGATAATCCCATATCAATAAAATCAATTTGTATCCATGCAAGCTGAGCTGAGAAAATGTAAACATCGAGTTATGATTGTGTTCACAGCAGGTTTTATCCTTTGCTAAACTTTTGATAATCATCATGGTAGTGGTAATTATAACAGTAACAACATTTAGATTTAGGATAACATAATATTCCTTTCTCATTAAAAATTAGGAAGATGACTAAGTAAAAAAATGTCAAAAGTGGAATCTACTATTATTGAACATTATTGTACTGTTATTAGCAGTATTTTGTGATTGTCGATGAAGTATAAGTAAATGGCCATTAGTACACCAGGCTGTTTGTGACTGTTTAGATACAAAAAAAAGAAGAGGAGGATGAAGAAGAATCAGTATTAACAAGAGATCATATGATGAAACTTAAAAAAAAAAACAATGGTTTTCCTTTTAGGGGATGTGTGTAGTAAAAACATGATATAATTTCTAAGAATATAGTTAGTAACAACATAACCAATAACATCATCTTTATATAATCAATAAGCAGTCATCTTATATTACAGGTATAGGATAAATTAATGAAACTTTACTATATATTTTGACCTTTCTTATCTAAAGGTCACCTTATACACAGAAATATACAGGATCTCTCTTTGGTCATGAACCTTATTCTTAAATGTTAGATATGAAAAACAAGAAAAGATTTTAAATCATTTAAACTTCTTTCCAAAATACAGCTCTTATTAAGTGATTCCAATTAGTAAACTTTAATTGGTTTACACCTTTATTCGTGCACTATGGGCAATGATTTAATTCTATTTTACAGCTCCGTCAAAAGTAAGACAACTTCAAGGCACTTCTGTATCAAATGACAGTATCACATTAAAATATGAGGCTCCGAAGCATAAAAATGGCATTATTATAAGTTACACAATAGAAGTCTGTTTTAAAAAACATATTTGTAGACATACACCAAACAACACCGTATCCATTTGCAATGAGTTCAACACAACAGAAAGAACATACGTTCTCAAAGACCTTAAACCAAATTGGCCTTATATAGTGAGAGTTTGTGCATGGACCAGCAAAGGTGCTGGCAAATTTAGTAAGCCAATCAGTATGATAACCAAAGAAGGTGGTAAGTAGATTTTATTGCTACTGTTTCTCAGCTCCTTCCACAAGAGACTAACACTAACTTTGACTGCTACCTTGAATATTAGATCTAACCTTTTGTTTTGGCCTTTGGTTTTCTTTTTTATATAATTTTATTGAAGAGTGTAGACATTTTGTGTTTATTGAATTTGTCCATCTTCCTTTCCAGATTAACTCCTTCATAAAAACAGCAGTTGTTGATGGACAAAATTTCCCAAACATTTATAATGGGTGTGTCCAAACTTTCAACTCTCACAGGTTATCTTTAGTGCTATTGTGCTAATCCCACTTTATTTTGGGACTGACACGCATAAGAAGAATACTTTAACAACATGTTATAAGGATATTTATTTATACTTAAACATGAATACAACAGTTAACATAAACACAATGTCCTTTCCTATATAAAGAGAATATGTCAGGCAGACTTACCCATCTAGTGGATTGAAATAGAGCTAGATAACTTGTCCCTTTAAAACCCTTGGCAACTGGTACCATTGGCTGTGGAGAGAATTTCTTGTATGTACTTTCAGACCAGGTCTGGTCCCTTCTCTGGTGGTGGTCAGCTTTTTCTAAACCCACAAGATTTTATTAACCAATGAGAGACCACCTAACATCATGTGATCAATCTCTATATATATATTGAAGCAGATGAATTTTACAAAACCAACAGGGCTGTGTAATTAATGTATTATATAAAAAAATAGTAGTAGTCGTAATAAGTGCATTTAGTTTAAGGTCATATTTAAATTTAATAGAACAAATCTAAAAATGAAGGCAGCCCCATTCCACCACCATGTTGTGAGAACGGGCATAAATGTTTTATTAAATTCATACAGAATTTACAAAACATTCCATCTTTATTTTTTGTGAAGGATAATTTGTAATTTGGTGAGGAAGATGAACAAACTCAATAGACTCACACACACACACACAAAAAAATGTATATACTCTTTAAGAAGACATGTTTGAAGGAACAATTTCTATGTGAGTATACTAAGTATCTCTTCCTCTCTTTCTCATTATTATATCTATATATATATATTATCTAGCATGGTAAGATTTTCTTCATTTTCTTTTTGCTTTACTGATTACTTACTTTTTCTCTCAGCTCCTGCCTTTTCTTTTGGTTTGACTATTGTTTTCCAGGCACTTAGTCTTAGAGGAAGACAGCAACTTGAATAGAGCAATTGATTAAATGGAATTGATATTCCATGCTGATAATTACATTACCAAAGAATGAAAAAAAAAACCCTAAAGCTAAGAATCATATTGTAATTCTGTGTGTTCCTTAGTTAATACATATGTTACATGCTGCCATTACCTCAAATAAACAATGGACCATTCCTGTTTGTGAAGATAAGTGGAAGAAAAGATATATCAAAGGTTTGCAGCAATGTTTATTGTTTTAAAAACCAATGATTAGAATTGGAATAAAAGCCTAAACATATGACAAAAGTGAATTTATACATTTTTCTTGTTCTTGAGTATTTACAACAAAAATATTAAACTCTATTTATTTATTAGGTTATTTATTTGCAAGAATAATTCTATCTTTACAACATTCTAAAAAGTAATACAATTAAAACTAATGCAATATTTATCATTTACATTATAAAGAAAATAAATTAATAAAAAGAATTTTTTATCCTAAATTTATAAACATTTATTTTATTAAAATATGTGAACCAAGTATAAGGAAATTCTTATCATTTACCATTTATAAAGTTTGAATCACTTGGCGATTAACCAATATTTTGCCAAACATTTCAATAAATAATAAAATAAACAGTGTAAATAAACAATCTAATAATGTTTATTATTTTTTTGTTGTCAAGTCTCAAGAATGCCTGTCTAGCAAGAGGAAACTACTCCACTAAAATTCCTTGCTGTCTCTCCCATTTCAAATCTTTTCTCTTTCACTTGAAATTGCTGCATTTTACACCTCAATTTTGTGAACATGTTACTGATGTTCAGTAGCCTATCTATAGAACAACATAAGGAACATGCCATGGGGACCAACTGAGTTGGGTGCACCACAATATCACTGAACAAATTATTTTGTCATTATAGACAAGCGCGTATGGTTGCAAGAAAGAAATCCGACAACAGTAGAAATAAATTTATGTGATTTATTTCAATAGGAACGTGTGGTTTTGGGACAGCTATCTTGTGGTATAGTTCATAGGCTGGCTGAAGATCTGGGTTGATCTCTCATAGTAGTTCTTGCTGGTTGGCATGGCGCTACTGCTCTGGCTGCTGCTGACTGCTCTGCCTGACCGTGACAGGTCTTTTCCCTGGCCTCCTGTTGACTGCCGTTGTACTTCCATGTAACCCCTTTTATGGCGTTTTTTTTAGACATTAAGCATTAAATTATCTATCAATATTTGACATCTGCAGATTGTTGGTGTCAAATTCTGCAAGTGACAGTTTTTTGTAGACCTCGATGTTAAGGGCTTTATACTTCAGAGTTTGGGAGCTTGATATTTATTTAGAAGGTTTAAACTGGTTGCTTATACATGTAAGTACCAGCAGTAATACGTCAGTATTGTTCTTTTAATTTTGAATTAGGAAATCATAGTTCATATTGTTTAATTCCTAGCAAAAGAAATATAGAAGTACACATGAAGTACACTATAGTGCAATTAAGTTGTAGGGCCCAAAATATGATTATCTTTCTTTGATTGAGATAAAGTCATGTGATGCTTAGTGATGTCACTTCCTACAGTGACAAAATTGCCAGTCAGTCAACTCACAGGAGTCAAACTGAACAGTTGTTTTTTGTTTAACAGGGGTGATGGTGTTGTCTCATCTGAATGTGGGCTATATCTCACTCCACCAACAAGCTCCCACATGGTGCAGCTTACAAGCCCATGGCACTGTTTCCTTTTGGGAATAAAGTCTAAGAGTATGATAGTATATTTTTGTAGTAATTGTTTCTTAACATTTGTTAAAATTATCTATATTTTAAGAAAACATATTTCATTGAGGTCTTGAAATGCTAATAAGAAACATGTCTGATAATTTGGAAAAAAATCAAGCATAAGTTTTCTTGTCTAAAATCACAGACTCTCAACACATAATCAATTCCAAATTTATTATATATATATATATATATATATATATATATATATATATATATATATATATATATATATATATATCAATGGTCTTAACTTGTATTTTTGGACTAGTACATTTATTATGTATTTTAATAGGATATCAGATGCTTAGATAGGAGTGCAATTAAAGGACTTGCCATGGGACATTACTTTTTATAAATCCACCTTTTCTGATGAGTTAATAATGTATGCAATGAATCATTGTTGGGAATGATAAACATGATTTTAATTATTTCCTTTAATTCATTAGCTACAAAAAAATAAAAATAATTTAAATGAATTCTATCGTGACAGCAGCACATCTAAAAAAAAAAGGTTATGTTATTTTGTATTTATTATTATAATGATTGAGAAAAATATGAGAAAATAAATTTAATGCCTGAAATATATTCCATTATTAAATAGAAACATTTTGAAATATAATTGTATAAGGAACAAGAAGGAATCCTTCATAAATTTGACATGTTCCACTATTTAGTTTCATCAGGTTTGGGAGTGAAATGATATGGTATTATATTTCAATTTTCAAATTTGTATGATTTTTTTTGCTTTTATTGTTTGTATGGAACATCATGTGTATATTTTGTTTTCATTTTTTTTTTTTTTTACTGATAGTTCACCAAATACGAGACCTAAGAGACACTCAAGGTAGAGTGGTATTGTATCAGATTGTTAAGAAAGGGGGAAGTTAGAGCGTATTATGAGGACAAGTAGGATATTGACTCTGGACTTAAAGAGATCAAGATTACAGTTGTCATGGAAGCGTTTTCTCGAGAGTATGTTCCACAAAGTAACAGTTCTGTGGAAGAAGATCTCTGAGTGGAACTTGCTCTTTATCAAAGGAACATGGTGACAGGGTGAGTCCACAGCTGTGAATGTCCAAGATGGTGGGATGAAACAATGTTAGTTTTGTTTAAGAGTTTAGGGTAAAGCAGGTAAAGTAACACGGGGTAAAAACTAGCTTGTGGATTTAGGGGTTAAATTATTATTTCACATTGCAATGGGCTCTTGTGATATTTTCTCTTAACTACTACAATGCTTTTCTTGCCTTATCGCTTGAATATTAATGAAAATCAATGAAATCAGAATATCCAAAATTGATACGTATAAGTAAAATTTCACTTATTTTGTATAGTGCACATTATAGTAAGAAAGTTTTATCACTGTTTAGATAGTTTTCAAATTATCATTTTATGTTTATTAAAGTTAAATAAAGTTGCATTTGATGTGCAAATCAGGTATCAGAGTGGTTTTATTATCCTAATTTTAGTTTTTACAATTTACACCACCATGTTACATTGTGTCTCACTGTCGGTTACTTTTTGTCCTACCGGTTGGGGGAAAAATAACATTTTGCAATTTTCATTTTTTTCATGTTAACTCATTAAACTAAAATCCAGAAGAACTCATCATAATGTTGATTTAATTTTCATGTACAACTTAAAGAACTGTCCGTCTTTAATTATATGGTCGATATGGTAATTTGAAAAATGTTACTGTGTGCTGCACTATACCCTACTAAAATTGGTTACACATACGATGAATATTGTGAGTAATTACTGTTATATCAGGTTAGATCATCTGAAAAAGTATGTATATTAAATGGTTTACATTTTATGAATATAGGTAATATAAAGAAATGTCTGGTGAGTATTTATTTTATGTTCTTTATTTATCTTCCTTAGAGGTATTTTCTTTGTAACGTGTTTTGGTGAAGTTCAGAGACAAATTGAAGATGGAGTTTTCCTTCTTCTTTTTCTATGTGTAATGTTACTTTAAGAGGTTGGCTATCATGGCTCTCCACAATTTCCTATTCTTAATAAATTTTGTCTTTCTTTTATCTCCCCAAAATCTTGGAAAATTCACATGACATTGAAAAGAAAAAGAGACAGAATAAAACAGGGCACAACCTACCAAAGGAGGTTGTACAAATGGATGTCAGAACAGTGTTTGTGAGAGATGTCAAAACAATGAAATTTACTCTAAGCTACAAAAAGGGCAGGAAAATGTGTGTTTACCCACGGAAGATAGAATAAGTTCATACAACACTAGACTGTCATGGAAACATTTTACATTTTAGGCTAGTAAATATGTTAATCTTTTTTATGCAAAAACAATTTAAAGAATTGTTCAGAGACAGTGGGAAGATGTCGCAAATATGAATGTTTAATTTTTTAAGTTTGTTTTTTTTTTTAAAAAATGATAAAAATATTCATATTCAAAATTATTTTCTTTTATTGTAATTTGCTTTTAAACTTTTTAAAGCAGCTAAAAATAGATCAAAACGTTGAATTTACCTATTTGAAAAAAAAAAAAAATCATCTCATTCCAAGCAAGGCAATAATACCACTAAGCCGCAAGGGGGTTACTGGGGGTGGAAGAGAATGAGAAGACTTTAGTGAGGAAAAAAGACAATAAAAAAACAGATTTCAGAAAGAGAAACTTAGGCGATTGAGGTTGCATTTAATTTTTTTTAGGATTGTAAGTTGCAGAAAATCAAGAAATCAGAAGAGAGTTCTGCTGGCAAGAAGTTTGTCGTCACAATGTTGACACTTTTTTAATTGGTATTTGCATCGAAGAAAAATAAAATCTTCTAAAAAAAAAATACCACTTCAAAGAAAAGGTCGACAGTCAAGGGGAATAAATCTCTTATGTTTTCTTACAGAGTAATCTCCCTTACCTATATATGTTTTTTTTTTTTAGGTATGTTATTTTTTTCGTATACATTTTTAAAGTAAATGATAATATGTAATTGCCAATAGCAGATTCCTTCTTTTATATGTGCTGTGTCTCTTCAACACGTGGGCGATTATGGCTCTCTACAACTTCCTATCTTTCCGCAGTGCCTCACAATGTATGTATTTTTACTAGCACCTCTCTTCCCTGTTCTACCATCCATTATTTACACAAGTATATTAGGTAGGATACTTGATGTTTCAATATGTCCCTCTTGCCTTCATTCTGTGTCTCAGAAATTTAAACTACCTCTTTCTGACTCTAAGTATAAATGACACTTGCTTTTCAATATTTTTAAAACGTTCCTGTTATTCAAAAGCTCTATAGCATTCTTAGCATCTTTCTGTAGAACCATATCTCTGCCGCAAGTCTTCACTTCACCTGTGAGGGATTTGTCCAGCATCCACTAGTAGATAGGACTGATATTTCATGATAGTTCAACACTCTTTTCCCTTGTTTCTAACAAATTTTTTTCCTGATTCTTAATACTTTGTCGAGTTTTTTGGATGCTATCTTTTGCTATTCTAACTCACCTTCAGATTTTGTTTTCATATTTTCTGTCTTTTACTAAAACAGTTTCTAGATATTTAAATTCCTGTACTTGCTTGATCTTGACCTTTCTAATTTGTAGCCCACATCTTTGTCTGTTTCTCTCTCTGATGATAATACATTTTATCTTCTTATAAGTGATAGTTATTCCTTTCTTCCTACTCTTCTTTACTACCTTGTCTAAGAGATCCTATAATTTTCTTTTTGCTTTTGTCATCAGTATGGTATTATCTACATATCTCATACTGTTTAGATTGTGTCAACCAATAATAAGTCCTTATAGGAAATGCCCTTTGGATCACCTCACTCATTAATGTTAAATACATCCAGTGAAAAGATGCATACATGTTCTTATAATATTTATAATTTTTTTCTTAAAACAGTTTTTGAGGAAAATAGATTTCTCAAGTCCACTTATTCCCTAGCCTTTTAAGGTAGTGTGTAAAACTAACATCTTGATTATACCATTTTTATCTAGTTATGTGCTATCCATTTTAGTTGTTATTGTTTTTTCTAGTATTGATAGGAGTTTCCTACCTAACTTTTTGTTTTTGGTAGTGTGGAAAGCTAACATCTTGATTATATCATTATTTTATTTTCTCTTTTAGTTACATTTGCTATCCATTTTAGTTGCTTCTACTGTTGGAAGTCTTCAAGTGATATTTTGTATTATTTGTTATAGCTCTTTGTGATTCTGTAACACTTAAATTGAGTGTCTGATTAAGGATTGACTTTAAGATCTAAAGTATACATTCACTTCAAGCCATTTTTAATCATTGATCTGAGGAAATAGTTGTATATAGAATATATGTAGATAATAGAATTGTATTACACTTATTAATATTATTATGTTTTGGTTGATTCTGCTTATGATAATTTTCATATATACAGATGGATAGAAAGAGAAATTTCTTTTTTGTCTCAGTCATACAAAATATATAATGGTAGTAAATAGAAAAAGAAATAGTGGTGAATATGGTGAATAAACCAACCCATTCATGGCAATACATATAGCACAAGAAATTCCATACTGATTTGCTCCACACAGAAAATAGAGGTCCTACTCTTTTCATATACATTAAGCAACTGAAGAAAGTCCCACGACATATCAGCTGTTCACTCAAGTGAAAAACTTGTAGAATAATGACTTTTCTCCCAATGACCGAATGTTAGCATTGATGGTGAATCACATCTTTTGCATATTGTAAAAGAAGAAAAATGCATAACAAACCATAGTTTTGATCCTTATATAATTGTGTTTGAAATCTCTTTTTTTCAATATGACTTTTTATATTGAAACAAATGAAAGAAAAAAATATGATTTTGATGCTTTATTTTTTTCGTTGCTGATTTAGTTCCATCACCAGTGGTTAATTTGGAAATTACAAAAGTGACAAATACATCCTTAGAATTCAAATGGGAACGACCATGTTTCCCCAATGGGAATATTACAAATTACAGAGTAGAATATTCAAATGAAGGTGGCATGGTGAATCACAATCAAACTCTCGCTCTGGCTGGTAAACTGGAAAAACTTCATCCGTATCAAACATACAGTATCAATGTTTCAGCTTGCACCAGATCAGGATGCTCAAAAAGTGAAAATGTCAAAAATAGAACTCTGGCTGGAAGTAAGTATATTTTTAATTATTTACTTTATTATAATGTGTGAGCTGTGGAAGAAAGGTTTATTTCCAGGTTCTAGTTCTCCCATTATTGGCATTATTATATCCATGATAAAATAACACCTTAATACATAGGTGGAAAATCTGGAAGGAAAGCAATAACATACATGATTTGTTTTCAGAGAGTTTTATGCTGCTAAGTTATACACACAATTATAAACACATGTCCCATGCAGAGAAGTTATATCACATGTCTACAACAGCAAGCAGGAAGAAAAGGAGAGACTTACTTGTAATATTTTCTGAAGGAAGAACTGTAGGTACATCAGTTTCTCTATGAACCTGCTGAGGCTATTAGACTTACTGCTATTGGCTAGGGACTTCCTTCTTCTGGTTTTACATCACAACTGCTCTTTGTCACTATCTCCTGATATTATGTGACGCTCATGAGATAATCTCAGCCAAAGGAAGATAATCCTTTTTTTTAGCCCTGCAATTAGAAAGTCAATAATATTAAGACAAAAAACAAAAAAAAAAATAAACTCTTTATTGTTAATTTTCGTAACACTATCATGGGCTTGACTCGTTCAGAAGAATTGAATCTGAACATAGCAATAAATTCAATGGAGCTTTATATTCAGAATTATTAATCAAATGAAAAGATCTCAACAAAATGTCTGTCTTCTTCAAGTTATATTTAAACAATTGTTTAAAAAATGTTTGAATATAATTTAAAGACAGACAGACATGCTATTGAAATATTGGTTAACATTGTCAGAGTTTTTTTCTTTTTTTTTTATCTTTTCTTAAATTGCACTCTTAACTGTTGAAAAATACTGGGAGAGTTACACCAATCATTTTGTCTAATAAAAAGATCTCTTGATAAAAACTTATGATAAATCCAATGTTTTATAACATAAGAAAATGCACATGGTTTGGTTTATTTTGTTTTACAGCATATCAACACCTCAATGGGTTATCTAATGCCAACATGATTTTTAGGATAGGTTTCTATGAACAGAATATTGATTTATTTGTAAGAAATCAGTTTGTAGATCAGGTTTCATTGAAGTATTTTTTGTAAAGAGAGTTTTTGTTGAGAGTTAAATCTATTGCTGGTAATATATTTTTTCTTGCTGCTTGCTGATTTTCAAGAATGTATTGCTGATTTTTTTTTTTTCAAGAATGTATTGCTGATAATATTTTTTTTTCAATGATGTATTGCTGATAATATTTTTTTTTCAATGATATATTGCTGGTTTACTATAAAAATCGATTGATGGCAATACTTTTTTTTTTTTCCAAAATGTATTGTTGGTAATATTTTTTTTTTTTCCAAAATGTATTGCTGGTAATATTTTTTTTTTCCAAAATGCATTGCCGGTAATATTTTTTTTTCCAAAATGTATTGGTAATTTTTTACTATAAAAATCTATTTTTATACTTTTATAGTGTCTTGAACCCAATTTGGGGGTTAACTATTTACCCATAGCTGGGAACCTAACAGCCACATAGTTTCAATTGAAAGAGATTTTCTAATAACTTCAAGAGATTGAAAAAGATCAATGTGGATCAGATGAACCCTTTAAGGTTGGAAGCAGGCAAATGCATTTGACAATTTCATGCAATTATAGTCCAAGAATGCCTGCAATCATGTAGCTCTGTATTTCAATGCATAGTGTCAACACAAATAACACGATCAACTAGAGTTAATGGAAATCTAGAACATTTTGGAAATCTACAACTTTTACAAACTTGTAGATTTCCAAAAACCATCTCTCCTAACCAGTAATACTGAGAAGGCTACATTTGGTATCATTTGAAATAGAAATCAATTCTCTATCATATAGAATCAACTTGTAATACTTGAATTTAATGGTTTTTGAGATATATCAGTTTAGCTGCAGTAACAATCATATATTCAGATGTTTTAACAAATCAGTCAAGATTCCAAGAATTTAACAATTTAACTTGAGGGACAAATAGAAAGAGATACCAAAGAAGTGACTGAATGTCAAAGATAGAAATTAGTAGAACACATAGCATGAAGAAAGGATAACAGATGGAGCAAAAGGTTGGATGAGTAGTGACCACTAGACAGCAAATTCAATAGAAAAATATCAGACAAACGACAAATATATGAATTAGAGGCACTTTCTGCTAAGACATAGAAAGTATGGCATAGTCACAGTTGTCATGGAAGGAGTTGGGAATAGTTTGTATCCAGATATGGACTTGCAATGGTTGCTCTTTTTCTATTCAGCTTATATATATAATTTACTGTTAGGAAAATTAATGAGAAAGTAGAAAAACTTTTTTTGACATGTTTTGTTCTTTATGAATTCATCAGACTAAACTGATGTTTACATTGATGTGCATGAAAGAGAGGGGACACTGAAATCTTAAACATTTAATTAAATTTAAATTAAAAAAAAAATGTTTTTTGGGATATATAGTCTAGCCAATTTGATTTAGTTTTGTTTGTTTTTAATGTTTTCTTATTAAGTATCACAGGTATCTGAAGGTGAAGTAAAACTAAAATTCTCTATCAGAAACAAGATACCAGACATTTCAAGTTGTTAACCTGAAAGTTTCACCAATCCTGGATAAAGATGCAGATGTGGACAACGGATTATTGAAAAGATTTGTGGTAAATACTGTGAACCTATCACTAGAATTAAGAGATACATCAACTGATAAAGTTGGAAAATCTCCTGTGTAGATTCTCATGAGTTGTTATTTAAAACTGTTGTGTCCTTAAAGAAGGTTACAAACAGATAAAGATGGTACTCGAGTGAAAGGAACAACAACACACACATAAATGAAAGGAAGAGAGGTTTATTGTAAAAGAGAATACACAACTGAAAGACAGGGAATCGGTTAGCAGGCTAGTAATTCCCGAAGCACGGTTATTTACCTCACCTCCCCGCGAGGCAGGATGTGGCATAAGGCTGTTTTTAATGCGGGGTTAAAACAGCCCATGGGCTCAGGGAAAAATTTCCCATAGACCCTATAAAAATGGAGTCAGGTAGCTGTCTACCTTTCCAGACAAGACCCCTGCCCTTTAGCATAGTCTCATCTGGGTTCCTCTCTACCTGAAGGCAGAGAGTTCGACCAGCTCAGTCGGAGACAAATCTCCAACTAATTGCCGAAGCAAGGATATTTGTCAACCACCCCACACGGTCAGATGTGGCACAAGGCTGAATTTAATGTGGGGTATCCAAATCTCCAACTAATTGCCAAAGCAAGGATATTTGTCAACCACCCCACACGGTCAGATGTGGCACAAGGCTGAATTTAATGTGGGGTATCCAAATCTCCAACTAATTGCCAAAGCAAGGATATTTGTCAACCACCCCACACGGTCAGATGTGGCACAAGGCTGAATTTAATGTGGGGTATCCAAATCTCCAACTAATTGCCAAAGCAAGTCTGCCAGGTATATCCTGTGCTTACTATATATATCTACTGATATAGTCAGTCCACATAGACAATAGGGAGAGTGGGACATTCCATTACAACATAAACATTATCATCGACATTACATTGTTTACTTTATCTGCATACAGAAAATCTATTTTTCATTTAGAAAAGACATGCTGAACATCAAAAACAGCAGCAGAAACATTACAACCAAGATACAGGAAAAGAACTTGCATTGTTGAAGCCATGTGATCAAGTATAAGTACAATCAGATCATAAAACTTAGGCACCAGCAGTTCTGATGAATAAATGTGATAAAACATAGATTAATTTATTCATTTTTATGGATTAACAACTTTTTGTAGGTTATTTAAAACTAGACCATATTATTAGATTGTAAGAATTTTTTTGAAATAATAATGATATGCTGATACAAGTTCTACTAATTAACCCATAGCTGGGGGAGAAGAGGTGGATTCATAACTTTCCCAAGGGTATTTATGTGTATGTGAATATAATGAACCTGTCTGGAATTAGAAATTGGTTCTCTGATTTCCAATCCTGAGCCATTATCCGTTATACCACCCACACATCCAAGCACCTGGTATTTCCAAGCTGTCACCCATTTAGTTACTGGCCAGGCTTGATGTTGCTTAACTGGGTATTGTCAAAGAATTGGTATTTCAATGTGATATGGCCATAAGCCTGACAAGTATATAGAAGATGACACATTTGCTCATCAATAATGATTGGCAACCAAAGATAAACATTTATATCTGTTGAATGAGGAACCAATTGTGTCAGACACTGTTAAGCAGACCCTTTCAAACATGTCACAATCAGAAGCTGACAAAATTGTAATAAGAAGTGGTCACATCATAAGCAAACCCATCAGACCAGAAATTTAATAAATGCTAGAATAATACGAATCCTAGTAGCATGAAAGTAGTCTACTCCAATGATTATTCGCACATCATATCTTAGTGACATAGACTGTAAAAATATTATCTGTTATTAATGAACATTATAATTCTCATATCTTGAGATAGAAGTTGTGATGTATCCATAAATACAGCGTTAATTCCATTGTAACTATTTATAGAAACCAATCACATTTCAATAAAGCATAGTATCTGCAGCTCTTTGCAATCAGAGCTAGTCACACCGTGTGTTACAACAGATAAGCACTTAGTACATTTTGTTTCATCATTCATTGTTACTCACAGTTATCTAGTATGGTACAATATTAACATGATATATATATTTTTAATTATTTCACCCTATGCAAGGCAGTAAATCCACTAAAAGACAAGGGGTTACTGAGTGTTTTTTTAATTTATGCCAAGCGAGGTGGGAATGCTGCTAGTGTGCAATGGGTTAGAGGGAGTGAAAGTGAAAGAAAAGACTGAGAATAGGGAGGATTGAAGAAAGGACAAAAGATGAAGGGGGGTTCAAGAAGACAGAAGATGTCTAATGACACTGCATTTAAATTTTTTAAGATTTATCAGGGAAGCAAGTAAGTGGAAGAGAGTTCCACAGGTGGGAAGTGCAAGAAAAGAAACTGTTGGAGTAGAAGTGACAGTTGCATTTAACTATTTCAACAGTAAAAAGGGTGGAGCCTAGATGCCAATCTAGTAACATGCTTAAATTCATGTATTCAGGGGACCATAGAAAAAAGCTTATTAGAACAGTTGCCATGAAAATCTTTATAGAAAAGACATAGGGAAGCCATATCAAATTGTGAATGAATAAGAAAAAATGAGAATTGTTATTTAGGAGCAAGAACAGTAATTTAAAAGACAGTAGATAAAGATTGACATTGCATTTAGATCAAAGTTGACCAGAAAGCCAGAAGAGAGTTCCACAAGTGAGAAGTGCAAGAAAAGAAAGTTTTAGCACAAAACTTAGTACAGAGGCGGGAAAGTAACTGAACCTGAGCTTTCTGGTCAGGACTAATAAGTTTGCTGATTCTTTGGATTTTATCAAGAATCTCTTAAAAAAAAAAAAAAAAAAAAAAAGACAGCAGGAGTCCTGTACCATATGTGGCAGCAATATTCAAAGAATAGATGAATAGCAGACTTATAAATATGTACGATAGATTCTAGAGAGAAATATTTGCTTGCACCAACTTTCTTAGCAGCAGACCTATATAATGTAAATGCATGTTTAGGAATATTTTGAAGATTGGTAAGAAACTGATCATCAAGGATCAGGAATGAAAGCTGGCATTACTGACAGAATAGGGTTAATAAAGTCATCCACAGACCGACTGTTTCGCTGTTTCACAGCTCTTCAGTGTGGCTAGACATCCGGTTGTCTCTAGCTAGGATCGAAACCCGACTGAATTGGTGTCAATTGGAGATTCTACCACTAAGTCGTCGGCGCATGGCTGGGATGAAGGTGAATTTTAGCATATTTAATTTTAGATAAACACACACAGTGACCGACAGTGACTCAATTCGCTTTTGCCGAAGAGTCTCGCTATATTAGCCATAATAGTCACTGTTTACAAACCCACACCTCTTCCCCAGAGAGCTCAACTGGAATTAATTTTTCAGGAGCCAATATAAAGTCATCCACAGATAGACTGTTTCACAGCTCTTCAGTGTGGCTAGACATCCGGTTGCCTCTAGCTAGGATCGAAACTCGACTGAATTGGTGTCAATCAGAGATTCTACCACTAAGCCGTTGGTGCACGGCAGGGATGAAGGTGAATTTTAGCGTATTTATTTTTAGATAAACACACAGGAAGGACAAGCTTTAGGAGTATAGAGCTGAAGTAGACTTTAGAAGGAACCAGAAAGCCAATCCTAAACAATTTTTTTTGTTTATTTAATGGCATATCCGCTTCTTATGGGTTATTAAATGCTGAAATTTTATTTTTTTTGTGAGCTATGGTAATTTTCTTTTTCCCCCCAAAATTATTGCTGATAATTTTTTACTATGAAAATGTATTGCTAGTAACTTTTTCTAACATATTTTTATATTTTCCTGTTTTGACTCCAGTTTAGGGGGTGGTTCCCTATTTGCCCATAGCTGGGACCCTAACTGGTGCTAGCACTCTGGGTCAGGGTGGACACAGAGAACAACAGCAAACAAGAGGTCATTTCATGCTCCTCAAAAGCACCTGATTAAAGTACCTGATGCCAGATTTTGTTTATAGTCATATTCAGGACCTTCTAAAGAGGAAACAAAAAATAAACCCCTGCTTCTGTTCAAAGGATCCGGGAGGAGTATGAACTGGATGATAGGCAAACCTATCTAATCCTATTGATAAATGTGAATGCTTTGTCAGTCACTTCCCCGACAAAGATGTGTATATACATTTTTACTGAAATGTCTTTTTTAGAAACTGATTAGTAAACATATCCAAAACATAACTTTCAAAAAACAGCTATAGACGTGTTTATTTGTTTTTTCATATCCTTCTGAGCTTGAATCGAGTCCAATTGTCAACTCATACGTCTGGTAGAGGTGTTAACCATCGCTTGGGTACTTAAAGGTGACTCTGTTCATAGTCATTCTTGATTCTTTTTATGTCCTTGTGATTTTGAAACAAGTTCAATTGTCAACTCATACAGTTGGTAGAGATATTAGCCACCACTTGGGTACTCTAAGGTGCCTCAATTTCTTAGTTACTATAATAAAATTGATGTAATGGAATAATCTGTCACCTCCATGAATGACTACACTATAGGTAGTAACTACCTATAAGTATCTGTAAGTCAATGGACTACCGAGACTAGCTGGGATTTGTTATTCAGCTCTTAACTGTTGTTGAACTTTCTGCCTTTGGGCAGAGAGGAACCCGGATGAGGCTATGCCGAAGGGCAGAGTCTCGTCTGGGGAGGTAGACAGACCTGAACCCGTTTATGCTGGGTTTACAGGGAATTTTTCGCCGAGCCAATGGGCTTGGATTGCCCACATTAAATTCGGCCTTGTGCCACATCGTACTTCGTGGGGAGGTTGGTAAATATTACTAGCTGGGATCTGTTGAGTACGACTCAAACTTATGCAAGAACTACTGACTTTTCAATAGTAGCACTCACTAGTGGATTGACTTGCGACAACCTTGTGCATAACTGTTACCTTTATTCTTATTGTACTGGCTTTTTTACAATAAACATTTACTTATTTTATCCACCTTGTTTTTCAAGTATATATTTCTATTAGTATGGAACATAACAAAAATAAATAAGATATTCATTTGAAAATAAAATGTTTTTCACAAAATAATTGGCAGGGAAAGGGTTAATAGCTTTACTATAGAAATGCATAATAAATCAAATATGTCAGTGTCAACAATAAAGGCAAGCATTGCTGATATAACAGAGCTATTATATATAATGTAAATGTATAGTAAGTAACTTGCTATAGAAATATATTGTTAATCAGAAAAGTCATATTCTGTTGTTGTAAGCTAAGGCAAGCATTACTGATACAATAAAGTTATCATGCCATCAGTTTGTATTGATTTTGTATTCCATTCCAATATTTAATAGTTTTTTTTTTTATTCTACCAGTAGGAATCTCATGGAGTTTATTAATTGTATTGATGCTCAAATCTTGAGGCAAGTTGGACTAGACATTTCTGAAAGACATGTATCGCAACACAATGGTATTTAATTCAAAATTACATGTTTCATTTTCTATTTTAAGTTCCTCTAAATGTGAAAAACGTTATAGCAAAACCAAATAGTAGCACCAGTGTCACTGTCAGATGGGATCAACCTCAAGACAAGATGGGACCCACAAATTATGTAGTAGAAACATTGGACAATGGGAAGAAGCTAAAAGGATGCAAGGCAGAAGGTATTTGTTTTTCTTTTTTCAAAAATAGATTCTCTTTTGTGATCATAGCCATTTTTTATGTTTTCTTTTTCTAAAAGGATTCTTTACATGATACCTGAAGTCAATAACATTTTTTTTAGTTTTAACATACCTTACACTCACAATTTTTTCTTTCACTTACTACCATCTCTTTCAGTCATTTCCCACCTCATTCAGATACCTTGATGTGGTGTAATTGTTAACAAGCTTATCTCATGAGAACTACTTACAACTGAGAAGTGTGTTCGATCCTCATTGGGTGCACCAGACTTTAGGCCTTGTGCCACATCTAAACTATGTTTAAAAAAATCAATAGGGAACCTTGTGTAGAGTAATGGTTAACAAGCTTGTCTTATGAGAACAATTACGACTGAGTAGTAAGTTCAGTCCTTTCATCCTCTGCTTAGAAAATCACTGGAGCAACATGACATGGTGTAATGGTTAACAACTTTTGTTTCACAAAGAACAGTTACAACTGAGTAGTGAGTTTGATCATCATTGGGTGCCCTAAACTAAGAGCCTTGTGCCACATCTAAGCTACGCTTCAAAAATCACCATTTCATACCTTATTCATCATGAACATTTTAACAGCAATCCTTTAATTTGAGTGGCTCTTGAGCCTTGTATTGTGTGAACTTTAGTATTAAAAGAAAGCTATTTCATAATCATTTACAAGGTCTTGTAGAGCAAGAATTATTCCTTGCACTGCATCCTCTTTCTCATAGGTAAAATATTGCAAGCCTGTTGCGACTATCACTGTTTCTATGCAAATGTTCAGATAAGCTCTCCATTCTTTAGTTCCTCCAGTTAAGACCCTTACAGCTAAGACAAACAATGCTATTTCCACAGAACTGAATCACCCTGATTTTCTCCATATTCCAAATATAAAAGGAAAGTTCCACTCAGGTAACTATTTTACAAGAACTGCTTCTTTGCAGAACATGCTCCCATGTGGATGATTCCCTGGACACTGCAATCTTAACCTCTTCAAGTCAAGAGTTACCCATTACCTATCCTCCTTATCCTCATAATCTTCACTTCCTACCATTTCTTTTTTTCATTTGTGTTATGCACCTTATTCATTATAACCCTTTTAATAGTAACCCTCTGTGTGTCTCTTGAGACTTGGTGAATTATTGTATTAAAAAAAATTTGCTATCTTTTGTGTCGTTTTGAGACATCCATGCTCAAGCTCTTCACGTTTTCTCATTTTTGTTGCTCTCAGCAAGACTTTCTACTTTATGACCAACCTGTTGATGTTTGTAAAGTTTGCAACTCACTGCTTTCCTCTGATTCTTTTGCCTTTGAGTGTTAAATTTTCCAGACATTCTTTCCTCATTATCTCCCCCAGAAAACCAGCTGTCTCTTTCTGATTATCAGCAGCAGTTTCTTTGTAGTTTCTATTCTCCTTAAAACTTCCTCATTTGTTACATGCTCTGTTCATCATATTCTGAGCATTTGTCAATAGAGGCAAATATCAGTTGCACTTTAAGTTTTTTTTCTTCATTTGTGGTGAAATTGTCCAGTGTGTGCTCCCATATGGGAAATAAAACATTACATAGTGGATCAGCACTCTTTTCTTTGTTTCTAATATTTATTTTTAAATCACTTATCTTTACCGATACTGATTTCATAATAAAGTTTTTCTTTTTCTTATATTCTTTCAGTCTCTTTCTTGCATCTTAGTGGCTTTGTTGCCCTTGCTTGGAGTGAAATGATTAATTTTTTTTTTAAATTACTCCTCCCTTGCTCATGATTGACTAGATTTTTTTATAATATGTAAATTAGCATGCATTCTTGGGAAATATATTGGAGTTGTTTCTCATTGAATTCCATACCATGGAAAAGGCAGAGTTTTTCTTCACTTAGAACAGTTACCAACCAAAGCTAAAGAGTCCAGTCTACTCAGTTATTTAAACTGTTGGGATAGATGGATTCATACCTTTAGGTGTTGAGATAGATTCATACTTTTCTCAAGGGCATTAGTGTAAAACGAATGCAACAAACTTGCCCAGAACTTTAATTGCCAGTTCAAATTTTTGCACCAATACCTTTTATACTACCTCCAAATATGCAAATCTGCAATATACAAATGGCACATTTAAATTATTTTCAGTACACCAAAAGCATTTTTTCAAAAATGTCTGTTTACAAATGACATTTCTACTGGCTGTTATTATTTTCTTATGTAAAAGTCAATTTTTGTGTGTAATTGAAATTTTGATCTATGCTTCGATTTAATATTATCTATTTAATTGAAAACACTTATTTTAGCACAGCTATGCAAAAGATCATTTTGACATATGATCTAATTTAAAGGATGATTCTTTGGGATCATGCCAAATGTTATGATGCCAATTTAGATATTTTATCCACACACATATTTGAGATCTGATGAAGAAGTATTCAGACAGTTGCTATGGTAACAGAGCTAAAGTACACAGTGTGAAGCTGCTTTGCATAGACTGACCTTGAACTCTGTCACACACGCACACTAAGTTCTCACTTTCATTGTTCATATTAGTGCTTGGAAAGAAAGTGTGTAGAGTGTGCTCATCTCGCCACACCACAGAAGTTCCATCAGTGACCATGGTTTGTGCAGCAGTTTTTGGCCAGATACACATTCCCTAGGCCTGACAATCACCATATTCCCTAGACCTTGCCTCCTGCAATTTCCTCTTTCCAAAAGTTAAATCCCACTTGAAAAGAACAAGATTTCAAGATGTCGAGAAAATCCAAGTGAATGTAATGAAGCAGCTACTTACTATCCACAAAAGAATTAATATAAATAATAAGTTGGTCACTTAGCTGTTTGATGCTAATGCCAACTCCAGAGTTTCATAGATGGACCCTCCAGTCCACTAATCAGGAGATATCAGCAATTGACTGCTTATACTTCTTGATTGTTCTTTTTTATATGAACTTTTCATTTTTAATTTTGGTATAGTGTATGTGTGCATTTGCTCTCATGCACTCATTTGTGTGTATGTGTAGAATGTTGCGATTAATTGTCCTTTTCATTTTTTTTTTACTTTACACTTTGTTGCCATTTGATTTCCGGTTTTCTAGACATTTTGAGTGTTCTAGTTTTTTCTCAAGTTATTGTTTTCTCTTTTTTTTGCATAATTAACTTTAATTCTCAAATAATAATGTTTATTACTTACATTATTCAGACCGTTATCCTTCATTGCCATATTCATAACATTTTGGTCATTGTATGCTTTGGCCTTCTTCCGGTGATTAGAATTTTGAATCAAATACTTTGTTTCGTCCACCGTGGTAGATTGTTCTAGTTCCACGTGCTGTGCCTCTTCTGGATGTCTGGATCCAGTGACTAGACCCAAAGAGTTGTGCATTCAATACCAGGCCACAGCAGAGGTCAACCAAACTTGGAGAGTTGAGTTAAAGGGAAATAAGTGAGACATCTGGAAAAGGCACGGCACGTGGAACTAGAACAATCTACTCTAGTGGACAAAATAAAGGGTGAAGAAGGCTGGAGTGTACAATGTCTGAAACAGTATGAATATGGCAATGAAGATGAGGATAACAGTCTGAATAATGCTAATACTGTAATAATCTATTTCATCTCAGAGATATAGACAAATAATCTATTTCATCTCAGAGATATAGACAAATAATCTATTTCATCTCAGAGATATAGACAAATAATCTATTTCATCTCAGAGATATAGACAAATAATGTTTGCAGTAATAAGAAATAATGTTGGATAAAAAATCCATTCAAAAAATTAATGCTCTATATTTTGGGTGTGAAACAGATGCTGGCAAATATAGATTTGTAGAAGTCTCAATGAAAAACATATATTCCTTAAACAGGTAGATCAAACCTTGCTCTATCAATGTAGCCTCTGTAGTTGAATTGGTAAAGGCATATTCCACCTATAGAACTGGTTTCCCTAATGAAAATGTGGATACAGTTTCGATTCCTGTCAGAGGAACAATTTTACTTTAGTAAGACTTCTCAATCTAGGCAAGTTGTTTTTAATTTCACTATTTAAGAAAATCATATAAAAAAAGAATGATATCAACTCAAATGTATACCCACTAAAAATGATGTTTATTGTAATAAGAAATATATATATATATATATATATATATATATATATATGAATAAAAATGACAATAGGAAAACTAGTAATTGCTGACGCAATTATATAAAAAAAGAATGATAGCAACTCAAATGTATACCCACTAAAAATGATGTTTATAGTAATAAGATATATATATATATATATATATATATATACATATACATATATATATATATATATATATATATATGAATAAAAATGACAATAGGAAAACTAGTAATTGCTGACGCGTTTCGTCCAACGTGGACTTTATCAAAGCAAAATACAAAATGAATTTAATTGAACAAAGTAACTAATAAAAACAAAAAACAGAATGTTCCTAGCAACTGGAATGTAGAGAAACGCTATTTTCATATTGTTAACTGAAAATAACGTCAGAATTTGTCACGTGGGGAGAATATTGTCATTATATCTGTGTTGATGTTTTCAACAATTTTCTTTTGATTTTATGAATCTGTTGTGTATATTTGTTTGTAAGAGCAGTAATTTTGTTAAGAAAGGTGAAATGGGGAAACAGTTAACAATATGAAAATAGCGTTTCTCTACATTCCAGTTGCTAGGAACATTCTGTTTTTTATTTTTTTTTAGTTACCTTGTTCAATTAAATTCATTTCGTATTTTGCTTTGATAAAGACCACATTGGACGAAATGCATCAGCAATTACTAGTTTTCCTATTGTCATTTTTATTCATAAATATTGTCTTCTCTACTGGTTAAATCAGAGAATTCTTCAATTATATATATATATATATATATATATATATATACAGAGCTTTGTGAAACAGTCTCCCAAGAGGATGTTTCTCTAATCACAACTCTTAACCTCTTCAAGTTTATCTATTTATCCTACATATCCTCAAAATCTACATACTCTATCTACAATTCTGAGGTCCATAAAACAGCTTTCACCCCTAGGCAAATACATTTATAAAACAGTGACCATGAAGTCACTTTATGATGTGAGATTACCTCACCTTTTCTGCTACAAACTTTCTAACAGCTATGGGGTAACCTAGTATAAAAGCGAAATCATCTCATTCTTACTCCTATGGCATCCTTCTGGAAGTGTCTTCTCACAAAAATTGACTTTCCCCAGACACCATAGCTTGGGACTCAGGGTTGAACATTGGGAATCTGGGGACACAATGCAGGACTGAACAGTGTGAAAAGGGATTGTCAACTGTAGGATGGTCAAAGGATAATGATAAAAGATGATAAAACAAAAGAGCAAAAAATCCTCTTTCTTCTTTCTTGCTTTATCCATCAGAGGATGTGATGACAAGACATATCTCATTCTCCCTCCAGAGGACATCTTTGACCTTGGCATACCCCGTATTACATACAACATAATTTTGAGATGTCTGCTTTTGAAGCTTTTTTAAAGAAAGAAAATCAATTTTTTTCTGATCTGTTACATTTAATGAGAGATATCTATTTCTGGACAATTTCCTTACAGATGAAGAGGAGACTTTTGGCAACAGAAATGTTGTTCTACAAAAGGATAATGAAAATTCATAGATGAAGCATTTGAACAACAAGGAAGTTTTAAGGAAAATGAAAAAAAAAATGACACTTTCTAATAGAATCAGACAGAGGCGGAGGAAATTTCTAGAAAACTTAATGAGGAAAGAAGGCTTACAAAATTTGACATCCATAAGACATGGTGAAAGCAAGAGGGACCAAGCAGAAATAGTGATTAACCTAATTAACGAGCTTGTGTAAATAGGTGACAGAACAGGAACTGGGAAAGACAGTGAAAAGACAAGCATTGCTAAGAGCTACAAAGCATAGGAAGTTGTAGAGAGCTGTGATCACACCTGTTTTGAAGAGATGTGTTACATAAAAGAAAAGAAATACATTTCTGTTTTGTTTTCTATATATATTTATCTTTTCATTTTGATGCTTTCTTTCGTTATTTTATCTCTAATTTCTGGCTATCTGTAATCTTCATTTCTGGATTTTTAATTCTGGATCATTCTTTCTTCAATCAGGATTTGAGTCAACTGATTGTACAGTGACAGGATTAGAGGAATACTGGTCATATTCATTTATTGTGACTGCCTGGACATCTGCTGGACAGAGTAAATCCATGGAAAGTCCTGAAGTCCGTACACATGAATCAAGTAAGTATTTCTTTCGGAGATAATCAAATGAAGACCTCTGTATCTGCTCACAATATGCTTCTCAAGGTTTTACTTTCTTTCCATGGAAATGGATTAGTTTAGCTTTTATCGAATGTGTCAAAGGTTGGAAGAATGCATCAACCAATACTTAACAGCCAATATTCTTGTGGACAAGGTGGACAATTTGCATAGCTGTGTAAATACAACTAGTTCTAAACATTTGCTAGAAAACCAGCTATATACACAGTCATACAACCAGATGTTCTTAAAACTGGGTAAGGCTAATAGTTAATTTAATTTTGGAGATATTATAATCTGTTTATATTAAGACCTACCAGTCATCTATTTGAAAGCAGAAGAATTGGTTGGTAGGCTTAAAGATAATTAGCCTGTAAGCATTATATTTTATTTCTATATAACATTTGGTCTTTGGTGTTCATTTTTGATTGCTCTGCACATTTTTAATCTTGCTCTGATAAGAGAGAATTGATAAAATGGTTTAGTTATTTTTTTGCTTTTTTTTTTATATGAGCACTTTACAGTAATATTATTTTTTGTTACAACTCTCTTTTTTTAATTAATTTTTCTGCATATTTTAACATCCATTTTCACTGCTTTCATAATGTTTTTAGACGCTTTCTTACCAGTCAGTTAAATACCATACATCTTTGGATAGTCATGTCTCTTGATTCATTACTAAGCAAAAAATTTCCCCACAGTGGTTTGCTGTTTCTTTCTACAGTAGACTGGTTGCCAACCAAGGCTATAGGACCCAGTCTATCCTGTTATTCAACCCATAGCTGGAGGGGAGAAGGATATTTCTGCATAAGAGAATGTAATAAACCCAACTGTAATTCAAACTTATACTGCAGAGAAAATATTTTTCAAGTATTTCTGATTATATTTGAAATCTATAGAAAACTAGCTATGGTACCTGATACTGGATGGGCCAAGTTATTTTCCTTTGTACTTGTGCAGGTGGTAGTCATCTATTTGAGACACATATGCTATCAAATAGTATTAGCAAAATTTTCATAATTAAATTATTAATTATTAATTAAATAATTTAAAACATTTCAGTTCTTGTTTATTTCATAGGCTATAGATATAATTTGTAAGATGTTATATACCATACCTATGAACACCAATGGGTATGACCCGATCTTCATAAATGTATTGGAAACTATTGTAAGTGCGGGTAATATGCTGTCTAAGTAGTCCACCACTAGCAGTGGTTTACCTGCTTCATGCCACTGGTGAGTATTGTATTTTGTTGATGTTATAAAGATTACCATGTCATTTCCAAACTTCATTTTGGTTATTCCCCATTCAGTAACCCTTTCTAGGTTATAACTTGATTTCTAAGATTTTTCAAATATGTTATTAAGATATCAATATCTCTTATATCCATTTATATTCTTTCTTTCTTCTAAGCTGTGATCTAAATGCTCAGACTGTTACCACTCTCAGAGCAGAAATTGCTTTATTTGAATGAATAAGCAATTTTATTGTCGACGTCAAGAAAATGATTGCATATTTCTAAAGATCACAAAACGACAAGGTTACAAATGAGTAACAATTTTTTTTAATTTGATTTTTTAAAGTTGAATAAGCAAATCAGTTTTATTCACTAGACAAGGAATGATATGTGTCATTTGGGAATATAGTACCATAGCTGAGAATGCTGTTCTTAAGGGGCACACAAATTTCAGAGGTGGAAAATTTGATTAGGAAGACTGAGAATGTTATGAAAGACCTATAGTCATTGAAATTGAAATGATGATTAAAAATAATTCAGGTCACATGACATTGGACATCAAAGAGATAGTACCAATAACTCATATGAACATTGTAAAGCATTTGAAAACACATAAATGTTTGCATGATTCACAATTTAAGTGAAAAAAAATGAATAGGTGAAATTTCCATCTGAAATTCTCTGCCTGAACACAATAAAAGTCACTAATTATTTTTAAAAGGAAGATCACAGATGATGAAAAATAGATTGTTTACAACAATGTGGAGTAAGAATGTTATGGGGGAAAATGAGATGAGCCAATTTAAGTCTTGTTTCCAGTTATAAGCAGTAATTGATGAAAAGAATTAGCTAATAAAAGGGTATCATCTTTTATTAGGATGACATTAGATCCCACTTCTTTATGCAGACCCAGCAGAAATTGGTACAGTTCTACTATACCCACCAGATTAATATAACCCTGTGCTTTTGAATTACCACCTATTTTGATCCCTACAAAATTATCTTAAGTGGAAGAATTTGGATATTTTCTGGAAACCTGTGAAAAGCAATTAATTCATCACTCGGAAAAATACTAAATTCTGGGAGAATGAAATCATGATGCTGCTTCAAAAGATGGTGAAAAATAGTGGAACAAAATTGGTACATATGTGGTTCAGTAAATTCATGCAAAAGTATCTAAATAATGTCTTTGAATACCATTTTCCAAGCACACTTAAGTAAAACAGTAGCAAATTATTGCCTGCTTAATTTTTTATTCATTTAAAAGAAAGATATTTTTTGTAACTGGACTATATGTGACAGCAATATTCTCAGCATGAGTGAACGGTAGATTTATAGATATTTAAGATAGATTCTGGAGAGAAAAATTGTCTCGCATGACACATTGAATCAACTTTCTTAGCAGCTGACCTAGCAATGGATTCAATATAGTTTTTCCACGTCATGTCATTTGAGGACATTTAGCATCAGCCATGCTGACGGGAGGCAGAGACGGGTCTCTCAAATGATTAATGAAGAGAAGTTTAGCTTTGGAGTCATTGAAATTAACAAGCAAACATTTGCCCCAGTTAAAAACGGACTTGGTCATTTTGGGCATCAGCTGTAATTTTGACCTTATTGGACTGATCAGCCTTACTATCAAGGCAGGATTAATTGAATTAAATTTCCTATAGCAGGCTGAGGTTTGGATTCTTTTTTATTTTAGTATGTTGTGAGTATTATCCTTTTCTCAGTTAAAGCTTTAAAAGGTAACTCTCCAAACTACATTCTAACAAAGAAATATGGTCATTCTGCCTGAAAGTAAAAGTGATATTATAATCTGCCACCCACATTAAGGCTAGTAGTCGTAGAAAGCAGATTTAGAGAGATAGGCAAATTATGCAAGAAACAGTAAATAAGAGAAAACTCTTCATTGTGAGTTATAAAAAACAAATAATAATAAAGAAATGCACAACAGTGGTTGGTGTATAGAATGTTTGTACAATTGTAAGAATCTTTTTATACAGCAATGAAATGTGTCCTGATTGTGACAGGTGAATTTTGGGAGACATTAACACAACATCTTTCTAGTGATAAGTCAATGAAAAAGAGGCCAAGTCACATGACTAATGTCCAGAGACAGAAAAAAAAAAAGGAAGAAAGTGGTTCCTTTTTATACACTTCTACAAGTGATTCCCATTGGTTCTGCAGTAGCCTACATAAGGTTTATTTTTGGCCATGGAAATAAATGTGATATGTAGATTTTCATTTCTACTAAAATCTATAAGCACAATATTAATTTTGTCATTTCTGTTTAAGAAATGTAATTTGTTTTGTAAAAGTTACTAAGCTGATGATGAGTGAACTGTTTTGATTAAGTAGAAAATAAAAAAAATATTGACTGTAGCCTGCTTACTAATTGGGTAATAAATCATTATGGCTTTCTTAAGCTTGTCTAGTAAGAGTTATTTGTGCTGCAAACACTTTTGAACAAATATTATGGAACAGAAGTAGTAGTATTTATAACTTTATCATTGTTATTGCAGATCCTGGTCATGTGACAAATCTTGAGATTGGACTCAAATGTTACACACGGATTTATGTCAAATGGGAGCCACCCGTCTTACGGGAACGGAATGGAATAATATGTAAATACCGTGTAAACCTGGAACAAAATGGATCAGTAAGCCCAATTCTTACTTTATGAATTTTAATATGAGAAATGGATTCATTTTTTTGCTTTGTTTTTAATCATGCAACTAAAGGTACCAGAGTTGAATGATAAATGAGTGATCCAATCCTACAGAACAAATTTCTGATGAGAAATCATGAAACTGGTATCAAAATGAAGTAAATTTATTTCTCTTCAAGATTACAAGGGTTCATTGTTAAGTAAGGTCCTCGATCCTATCAAACAAGTTTCAGACCAGATAGAATAATGAAACTGGTACCACCATAAAAGAAAATAATTCTTCTTTCTCATTATTTACACTATTTACATTCAGACTATTATCCTCATCTTTCTTGTTGTTCTCAACATTTCGGCTATTGTCCCCCTGCAGCCTTCTTCAGGTGTATATTTTTTCTGGATAATCTTTAGATTATCCAGAAAAAATATACCCTTAATTTAATCTATTGAAGTAAATGTAGAAAAATCACGTGGTAGAGATAAACACTCAGTTGTGGAGCAAGCTAAGTGAATAATAATCCAACCTTTAGAAAGAGAGCTATTTATGGTGCCATGGAGCATCTCATTGTGCTAAAGTGGGATAGTCCATTGCTTGGGCTGTTATTGGCTGCTGGTACCTGAGTGGAGGTATTTCTATATAAATACCAGCTTGATTCATCAGTTTGCAGGGCTTGTATTAAGTTACAACCTGCTTTATTTTTGTCTGCCAGCTGGACGCTAGCTGGGACCTTTACGCCGGTAAGTGCTGTTTATTATTGTTATTCTACATCTCCTCCCCCCGCATCGCGTGTGGGTAGTGGCCTTTGGGGAGGGATGAGTTCCTTTAAACCTGGCTGGTTGTGCGGAAGTAGTCTGGACAATGCCCAAGGGGTTTTTGTCCGTGTTATTGTAGACGACTGAGCAGTGTTTGATGGTATTCCAGCGTCGAATGTTTGTGGCACTGGTGTAGGGGTCTCAGGTAAGGCACTAGGTCTGGGAACTGGAATTGTAGGTGTATCCAGTTTCCTGAGGAATCGGTGATTTCGTAAGGTAATTCTACCTGATCCATCAACTCTGATACGGTATTGGTGGTTGGGGAGGGTTTCAATGACCTGACCTGTTGTGTCCCATCGACGGGTTGTTGGTTTATGTAGTGCCACTATTTGTCCTTTTTGAAGGGGGTTTAAGGTGTGTGCTGTTCTGTTGTATCGCTCTATGAGATGAGCGTTCCGCCGGGACAGACTTATCTTGCGATTTTGGGCTGCGGTTATTCAATTCGCATATGGCTTATAGAGTGTGGGGTGGGATGTTATGTAGTCATGGAGTCGGAGGTGGAGTAGTAGTTGAGCAGGGGATAGCCCATTGTTTTGAATGGGCATATTCCTGTATTGGAGGATGGCTCTTGCTGCATGATTATTGTCCAACGATCCTTGGGCTCCTGTGTTTGCCATTTACGATTCTCTTTGCCGTTTTGACAGCAAGCTCTGCCCGACCATTGGATTGTGGGTAACCAGCAGATGATAACCTGTTTTAACAGCCTAGTCTTGTAAAATTGCTTGAATGTAAAAAGGGATGTGAAGGGTACCCACCATCAGTGCTGAGTTCCTTGGGAGCACCGTAAGAAATATGTCTCGCAAATTGAAATAATCCTTGACGCATTAGCTTCTCCGTGGCTCAAGTGGTATAGATTTAGCCAGCCTGTTAACCTGTCAGCACATGCTAAGTAACCATGGTTCCCAACATGGAAGATATCCATGACGATTTGCTGAAATGGCCAATCAGGAGATGGTGTCAAATTGATTGGCTCTTTTGGTTGACTCGGGCAATTTTTGAGCAGAACGCACAACCTGCTCTAATGTTACGTATTGAAGATTCATCCCGGGCCAATAAACAGATTCATTGGCACGTGCCTTCATGCCAACTTTGCCTTGGTGTGCAGAATGTAGGCTATGTAAGACTTTTCCGCGTTGAGAGGTGGGGATAACGATTCTTTGATCTAATAGCACTAATCCATAGTCAACACTTAGGCGGTGCCTCATTTCCCAGTATTCATGGATTTCGGGTGCAGTGAGGCTGCGCATCCTTTGGAATCCATTTTGTATTACCTCAATTAATTTTTTGTATTGCGGGTCGCTGCGTCCTGCTGCACAGATAACATCTGGTGAGATGAGCATTGTTTGTTTTTGATTTTGTTGGTTTCCCAGTATAGTAGGGTCAGTTGGGCAATGTCTGAGAAATAAAGCACCATGATGCAATTCACTTCACCAGAATTTTGGAAATGACATGCTGTACTGCTTGGAATTCATGCAGAAAGTTCCAATACAAATATTTCAGAGTGATTGGGTGTCAATCTCAGGACAGTGCAAAGGATTTGGAAAGAGTTGGATGTTATATCCAGTTAACATTATGGTGTTTGGAGTGATCACTAGTGATGGCGACATTATGCCTCCATTCATCTTTCCACAGGGCCTCAGACTCAACACAGAGGCCTACATCAAGTGCCTTGAGGTGGTAGTGCTGCCTTGGGTCAAGGGGATAGCTTCTGGAAGACCCTATATCTGGCAACAGGGTTCTGCATCATGCCACACAAGCAGGACAACTCAGTCATGGCTGTTAGACAATTTCTGTGACCATATCACCCCTTACATCTGGCCACCTAACTCCCCACACTGCAACCCCCTTGATTATTATGTGTGGGATGCAGGTGAGTGAGAGACCAACAAAACTTCTTTTAACACCAAAGAGGAACTAGAGGCAAGGATTATGTCAGCATTGACCAACTTAAACAAGGAGAACATCCAGAAAAGTTGCAGAAGATTCTGAAGTCATCTGAAGACTGTGGCCAATGGCGGTTTTATTGAATAAATGTATTTCAAGATATTTTTGTGTAATTTTGGTAAATATATCTGTTAAAATGAGATATCAGTAATATTTTCATTGTTGTGCAAATTAAACAACAATTTATCCATCGCACTCTGTATATAAGAAGCAATTGATGTTTTATTTATTAATCAGACAGATTTTTTCACTTTAAATGTTATTTTTAGGGGGTACCTCATTTGAGTAGATGCTTTTTTACTTATATCATATCTATAATAACATTTGAAGTTAAAAATCTGTTGGATTAATAAATAAAAATCCATTACTCCTTTACAAATTGTTTTGTATATCTCAGGATGCATAACTGAGCAGATATGAATGTTCATGAATATTGTTGAGATGTTGAGTGTTTCCTCGTGCGTGTATTGAAATAAGGACAAACACATACGTAGGGAAAAATACTGGTATATCTGAAGAGGTATTTACAACAGAGAGATTAGTAGTCAAACGAACGCAGGTTAGTCAGTAACAATCAGAAAGAGTATAAAGTCCAACTGTATCTTCTGGTAGAGAAACAGAAGTGTGATGGTCACCTGATCTCCCAGAACTGTCCTATTAGTAGTAGAGAGATCAGTCCATTCTGATGAGAAGGTGGGTGCGCCCCAACAAATATTCAGGCTGGTAGACAAAAATAAATAATTATATGGCTTAATAAATAAACGCAACATCTACTCAAATATAGATATCCACTAAAAATAACATTTAAAGTGAAAGTTCATATATATATATATATATATATATATATATATATATATATATATATATATATATATATATATATATATAAGAAGACAATACTTAGAGGCAACAGGCTGTTTCATGCTAGACACAATCATCAGGCTACAGTTGTGTCTAGCATGAAACAGCCTGTTGCCTCTAAGTGTTGACTTCAATGTTCACTTTTATATTTACACACTCTATTTCTCATATTGAGCACTTTATCCCATAAATATAGCGCACCTTAAGAGTATATTTCTATATATATATATATATACACACACACACACACACACACACACATATAAACATGGATCTTTGTGCCCGTAAAACTGGAGTATCAAAAGGAGAGTTTTCCTATGGCACTGTTTTCATTTTAACTACCTTTACTCTCAGCAATATTTGATATTTGTTGTTTTAAAAAGCAATAATTAGAATTGTAATAAAGCCAAAATATATTAAAAAATTCCATAAGAGAGATACAAGTAAGAATAAACAAGAGAACAGAAAGTATGTGACTCCTCTTGATATCCACTACCTTTAAAAGAAGAGAAATGCAAAGAGAGAAAAAAAATGGTAATGGACCCCCCTGCTCCCCACCAAAAAACAAAACAAAAAAAAAACAGAATTTAGAATTAATAGGAAATATTGGTGATGCAAAATTCATGGACATGAAAACACAAAAATGCAACCAGAATATCTTATTGAAGTTTTAAAATAATCCATCTAAATTAATAATATATTTGGAGAGAGCCGCAGAAGAAAGGTTTATTCACCTATTTACATTTCTCCCATTATGGGCATCATTATATCCATTGATATAATAACATCATAGTTCACGGACAGAATGGAGTGGCTGAAAGCAAAAGAAATAACAAACAGCTTTGTTCTCAGCGAGACTTTTATACCACTAAAGCATACACAAAACTATATATACATATTTACACATGTCCCATGCAGAGAAAATATAACAGGTATCTAAAATGCAAGCAGAGTAAAAGTAGAATGAAAAATATAGGATTTTATATATAATATGGAGATTGCTCTGTGTTCCTGGAGAAGCCATGTTTAGGACTCCAGATTCAAACAGGTCACAAAACTTCAAGTCTTGTATTTCTTCAAATTGAGGACTGCTAGTTGGAGTTTCTTTCTATATCTAGGGAAGATATATTCCCAAAGGGAAATGGCACCATGGTACTTGCAAGCTGCTGGGGGAAGGCATATTTAACCACAGCCTGAGTTGAGAAACCTGAGCCAAAAAAGCAATCGCTCAGTTTGGCTACTGTAAAGCAAATGAATGACTAATAATCATTTCTTTCAATAATATCAAAGCAAAATTTGACATGAGAAGAAAAAACATTTTTCTAGATAAAAATCATGAGATAAATGAAAGTAGCACAAATGGAAGATATATTTTTTTTTACAATAATGTCCATGTTATACAAAGCCCAAGAGCTACTCAAGGTAGAGGGTCACAGAGTAAGAGGCACAGTTTATGGGGATATGTGGAGAAATTAATGGTTAACCCTAGACTTGAACAGGTTAAGATTGTAGTGATTGAGGAAGCATCCTCTTGGGAGTTTGTTCTGCAAAGCAGTAATTCATAGGAAGAAGCTGTTGAGATGGAAGTTAAATCTCACCAATTGAATATGAAGAGAATGAGGTGGGGGTTCACTATAATGTACATAGCATGGTTGCTCTTAACTGATAAGATTAGAATTGGTGGAATCTTACTTATTATAAAACGCAGATTGTGTGTGTGTGTGTGTGTGTGTGTGTGTCTGTAACATTTATATATTGGATCGGATTTCCTACCTTTTTTAGCCGATTTCAATAAAACTCCACACGACTACATAAAATTACCTTGTGGTGGTTCTAACAGCGCCAAAAATGGGAAAAACAATTGTTTTTTAACAAAATCAAATTGAAAACACGATTAAGACATATCATGAGAATGAAAGGGGGACAACTCACATCGTGTTAAAAAAACCCACGTTGTGTGTGTGTTTGTGTGTTCCTTTATATATGGGATCGGATTTCCTACATTTTTCAGCCGATAAAACAAACATTCACTTTTTTTTTTGGCAGGTAGTGTTTCTTATTGTCTTGCACACTTTTTTCTTTATTTATACATTCAGAATTCTTTAAAAATTCCATTTACAAGACAATTGTTTATAATAAAATTCTATTCAATCGGGAGACTCATCACAATGATTGAAAACAATGTTTTTGTTTGGGTTTGACCAATTCGTAAAAAAAAAACCCCAAAAAACTAAAACATGCATGGCCGTCAACCTTAAACAATAATCTAATGATCTCTACTGATTGTACAAATCCAAACATCGGATAATTCTTTATCTTTAGGGAAAGATAATTCCACGTACTTTAGGGCTGTTTTTACAATTCCCTTTGCAATTTGTTACAAGGCAGATCAATAAGGCATTGGTTCTATTTGAAATTAATTCAATATTTAAAAGGAAGTATTAAGAAATAATTTAAAAATGCCGACTAAGAAATCTGATAGACAAAAAACAACAATATTTCGAAGATGATAATTATTAAGGAAAGAACACAGTACTTACCTTGTAATAAATTAATAAATCCAAATAAAGTTAATATTTTTTGTATTAGAAACGAGTGGAAAATATATTCAAATCAGAATTCTAATTATGAATCACCACTAGCAAAATATGCAATTTTTTTTACTTTATTCAATAAGTAAAAATCATAAATTGTAAAAGATTACAGAAAGGCTACCTACATTTTTCAACAGATTTCAACAAAACTTTTTTTGGCAGGTAGTGTTTCTTATTGTCTTGCACGCTTTTTTCTTTATTTTTACATTCAGAATGCTTTAAAAATTCCATTTACAAGACAATTATTTATAATAAAATTCTATTCATCAATCGATAGACTCATAACGATTGTAAACAATGTTTTTGTTTGAGTTTGACCAATTCGTAAAAAAAAAAAAAAAATAATTAAGACATGCGTGTCCGTCAACCTTAAACAATAATCTTTGTCAATTTTATTTTTCAGTCTTTATGATGGTCGATACTTGATCTATCTCTTACTGTTATATCCCCGGGCAACGCCGGGTTCTACTTCTAGTTAAGGAATATAGTTTGTCTGAGTGTTTTACATGGCAATAGCCAAAGAATAGTGAAATGCTTACAAGTGAGAAAAAGTTGTAGGGTGGAAATAATTAATCATCTACAAGGATGAAAAGACACTTTTGAACTTTTCTTCATCTGTCTGTAAGGAGATTCACTGCTATATAGGAGGACTAATATTACACAATAGTTCAGTGCTCTTTTCTTCGTTTCTCATGAATTTTTTTTGTTTCTTGAACACTTTCAACAACACCTAAAATAGATGGCACATGCAACTAGAACGCAAAGAATAATGATATAATGACATCTTAAACAAAAATTTAGGAAAGAAAGTCGCATCTGTACTAGAAATACTGATAACAGTGGACTTAAAAAAAAGTATTTTCTTGAAAAACTATTTTAAGAAAATGATTTTATAAATTCCAACTGACAGTAATACTGTTTGTTCAATGAATGCCAAATGTTTTTTGTTCAGAAACGGTTAATTTTGCCATTACCATAATCTTTTCAATGGCTACATGGAGTTTTGAATTCTTCTCCTAGATTGGTTGCCAACTATGGCTAGAGAGCCTGGTTAACACAGCTATTTCACTCACTGATGGAGAGATAAGAGGTGGATTCATAACTTTCCCAAGGGTATTTGTGCAAAAGTGAATATAACAAACACAGAATTTGATCAAGGCTTGCAAAATCTTCTTTCCAATCCAAACCCATAGAAATACATGGAAAATGCAACACGAACTGAATAATGATGCTATGAATTTACATAAATCAAAGATTTTGTTAAAAAGACATTGTAAACTTTTGCTTTGACTAATGTGACTTACATGTTTTTGTTTTACAGAACCAAACTCAACTTGTAAATACAACTCATCGGTACAAAGAATTCAATGTAAAAACTGAACGTAACTATACAGTTCAGGTAAATTTTTATTATTCTGGACCAGCATTTCTCAATTTTTTTATCCTTGTGTCAACCTTGAAATAGTTTTCATGTCTCAAGGACCCCATGCATGAAAATTATTATGGTAATTATAATGGTAAACGTAATATATATATATATTTAGATAACTAGTTTAAGGGGAAAAATGACCCCCTTTTTTTGCCAAATTTATTGCTTGCTTATGAGACCTTACACTGAGATTTTCATTCAAGACAATCTGTTAACACACAAAAAATAAATGTAAACAAATGTAAATAATTATTATAATTATAATTTATGAAGTTTGGTCAAAAAATACTTGAACTTGTGCTATAAAAATAAAACTACAACACATTATTTAATCTCCTTTGAAGTAGTCCCCTTCTGAAGCCACAGACTTTATCCAATGTTGTCTCTATTAATAGAAGCATTGCAGGAACTCTTTTTTTGGAATAGCAAGCAGCTGCCTTGTCAAATTCTCTTGAGATTTCCTCAGTGTCTTGAAATTGTGTTCCTTTCAAGAAGAATTTGATTTTTAGAAACAAGAAAAAGTCACAAGGTGACATCTTGGAAGTGTGGTGGTTGTCAAATCTGGAGATATTGTGCTTGGCCCAAAACTTCTGTAAAAATTGTACTGAATGGGCAGATGTATTGTCATGGTGAAGCCCATGCAATTCGATTCTTTTTCAATGAGCAGAAGCTTGCAAACACCACAATACATCACAGCTCTTCTCCTTGTTTACTGTCTGACCAGATGAAGCATACTCATGATGAACAATGCCCTTGTAGCTGAAGAAAACTGTCAACACTGTCTTCACATTGCTTCAACACATTCGTGCTTTCTTTCAGTCTTGGAAAGGTTGGTGTCTTCCATTGCGAAGACTGAACCTTGGTTTTTCAGGTCATTGCCATAGATCTATGATTCCTCACCTGTTATTACTGTTTTCAAAAAATTTTCTGTGGTGTGGTTTGGTGACCACACTCTACACACTTTCCTCCCTAGCACAGTTATAAACAATGGAAGTGAGCAAGAACTTTATAACTTAGAGTGTATGCGCAACAGAATTCAAAGTCAATCTGTGTCAAGTGTTTCCACTCTAAGTAATTTAGCTCTGTTACCAAAGTAACAGTCCCATTACTTTTTGTCTAGACCTTATACTATTACAGTTAAATTTAATCAAACATACATACATACATACATAGATACATATATATATATATATATATATATATATATATATATATATGTGTGTAGAAATATAGTCTTAAGGTGTGCTATATTTATGGGATAAAGTGCTCAATATCAGAGATAGAGCGTGTGTAAATATAAAAGTGAACATTGAAGCCAACATTTAGAGGCAACAGTCTGTTTCATGCTAGACACAATTGTCAGAGAGAAAATGAATGAAAAGGCTTTGGAAGAAACTGGAAACCCAATCCTAAACAGGAAACAAAGGATAAACCTCTACTCCTGTTCAATAGACCAGGGAGGAGATATGTGCAAAAATTCTGATATAAGAAAAAATATTTTGGTGAAAGACAATATGAATAAAGACAAAAGGGAAACTTATCTTTTCTAACAATATGCTGTACAGGTATAATAAAATTATGAATATAAAATTGAATTAAAATTGCTCAAAAATGTGCATAATCCTAGGGTTCTAGCGAACATTGAGAATCACTGGTCTGGAAAGTGAAAAAAACAAAACAGGAAATGGTTTCAAGGCAAAGAGTAACAGCAAACAGTTTTCTAAGAAACTAACACTTTATTACTTTAATACTTCAAGTGTCAGTTTGGCCTGATTTAATTAACAAAATATTGCAGGAATAAAAGAAAACTCATAATAAAAAAAGGAATCAGCAACATTTTCTAAAAATCTCTTTGAATGATAATGGCTTTTCTCAAGATTAAAGACTTTGTGTGTTAATTACAATCTTTACTAGAAATGACTTCAAAATACTTTCTCCTCCCATTTTATAGGCAGAAGCACAGAAATGCATGCTGGGACTTTTTTCCTAGCCAATAAAATAATCTGGTTTGTGGTTTCATCTGACCCAGTCCTGATCTATCTTGTCTTGAAGTCAGAAAAATATGTTCGCTTGTCTGAACTTGCTTTTGCCAATTCTTAGTTTGTGAACTTTTTACTATATTACTATTGATTTGCCTTTCATATATTTTTTGCTTGTTTTATATTATTTTTTGCCCTGATCTTTTCTTTCTCTTGTTATTGCAAACTTTATCAATTCTTCTGTTTGTTAGACAGTTCTATTACTTATTTTGTATTTGAACATGGCCACTCACTCCACATTGTGAAAAGAATGTTTCATGATAAGTTTAATCTTTGTTCAAGAAATTTAATTTGGAAAACACAAATGTTTCAATATAAAAGATGATTTTTAATAAAGGGATGTCTGAATAAAACCAATGTTCTGAACAATCATAATGAGAATACATCCAGTTTTGAGGTGGGTATGATTGGATCTGTGCAAAAAATATAACTAAAATGCATAACTAATTTTATAATAGATTATCCACTTATGTACTATCATAAGGGTATGAAAATTCATAAATAATATTATTTTTAAATGATGGTGGGAAAACTATTTTAAACATTCAGCTTTCTAAAGAATATCAATATGTAGACAACAGAATCTATAGCCCATCACATGAATGCTACATGGTTCTTGAAAATGACTGAGATGGTTGAAATTACTTGAACAAAACAAAATAACAATAGACCATGAACTTCAAACAGTTTATCCACAATTTCAATTCCAATATAAAATTACTTATTAAAAAATTGGAAAAATAATATAAAAATTAAATCAGCTGACTGTAATGGCTAAATTTAATCAGACATTATATATATATATATATATATATATATATATATAATCAGTTCATTTCCAAGCAAGGCAATAATGCCACTAAGATGCAAGTGGCTACTGTGAGTGAAAGTGAATGAAAAGATATTAGAAGGAAATGGAAACCCAATCCTAAACAGGGAACAAGGGATAAACCTCGATTCCTGTTCAAAAGACAAGGGAGGAGATATATGTAAAAATTCAGATATAATTAAAAATATATTGGCAAAAGACAATAGGGAAACTTAACTTAGTCAATGCATTTCATCATCTGATGGACTTTGTCAAGATATTTGCCTTGATAAAGTCTATCAGAGGATGAAATGTGTCAGCTAAGACAAGTTTTCTTTTTTTCTTTATATATATATATATATATATATATATATATATAAGTAATGAAAATGTTGGTAATCCGTATGGACAATCCCAAGGAGGATGAAATCCTGAGAGCTCAGTGTTAAGTCAGAGCAAATAATTTAATTTAAAGAAAAACAGACCACTTTAAGGCTCCATTAGTTATAATCTATTTCACCAGAGAATTTTATTTTTCTTTGGTGAAATAAATTATAACTAATAGAGCCTTAAAGGTGGTCTGTTTTTCTTTAAATTATATATATGACTAATTTTACTGACAAGATCATTATTAGTCTGAAGAAGTTCCACCTGGAGATTAAACAGATTATTTAGTAGTTTGCTAATCTGTCAAGCATATGTATGGTTGATACTGTGATTAGTCTTAACATATGATTGTGTATAGGCAGTACTCTCTTATTTCTTTCAATAAGAAACCATTGATTGGGACATTGGTTGTATAGTGAATATAATATATTCATGATGTTTCAGCCATGGTGCACTCTGGCCTTCTTCAGATGATGTACATGGAAATTTTGGTTGTTGTTCTAACTTAATATAATTTCCAGTCCGTTTCAATTAAACATGTATTAGAGAGGGCTAGGCCAAAGATTTAAGGTCACTTTCTGGATTTAATATCAACTGCAAGAAAGAAAGAATAGACAAAGGGACAGTCCTAAATGCAAACTCCAAATTGGAGATACTGAAATTTAAGAAGTATAGATATTAAAATATCTAGGAAGTGTTTTGACAGTGAACAGAAAGTGCAACACTGAAATCTGAAAATGCATTGGGATGACCAAATGTGCATTCCAAAAGCTAAGCAGCATTTTAAGAAACAAAAAAAAGAGTATGAAACTGTTATGTGATATCTGCCCTCCAATAAGGCAGTAAATGTTGGACGATGTCTTCAAAGATGAAGAAGAGACTTGAAGCCATAGAATATGGTGAGGATATCATGAACTGGACATGTGAGCAATGACACTTTTAGAGAAAATGGAAACGAAAAGGAAATTTATACTTGACATCAGCAAAAGATAGTTGAAATTTCTAGCAGGCTTTTAGAATCTGATACTCACGAGACAGTTTGAAGGCAAGACAGGCAGAGGAAAATAATACATAAAATATTTAGTGAGCATGAATAAATGGATGGCAGAGCAAGCTTTAGGAGAAATAATAAAAAGACAAAAATTATTAAGAGCTATGAAGACCTGGAAATTGTGGAGAGCCATTATTGCCTACATCCTGAAGGGACACAGCACATAAAGAAAAAGAAGTTTTATACATTTTTGGCTTAATTAACTTGTACTAAGCCAGGATGATGAAGCTATTTAACCTATTAGTACATGGCATTCAGTTTTAGAATCTGCCTGTCCTAAAATGACCATTAGCCAGCAAGGTAGATTAGGTAAAAAAAAATTAAAATTTCAAGGAAACTTTATGCAGTAATTGGTTAATTTCATTGTTATTATTGAATATATGATAAAGTCCTTCTGACCTGAAGTGAGTTAGTAAATTAGTTTTTAAAAAAAAACACCAACCTTCAATTTTTAGGTGATTTTTTTAAAATTGAGAGAGAGAGACACTCACCTTTTAGCCTCTAGTGTAGGTAAACTGGTATATATATATTTGAAAAATCTATTGATTTTTGAACAACAGCTCAATCATTTTTTTCCTTTATTGTTACAGGTTCGAGCAATAACAAAAATTGGAGAAGGTCCTATCACAGAAAAAACAATCAGTGTACCTGCTGGACGTGAGTACTTTTGTAAAATCCTTTTTCAGTTGATATCTACTTATTCTGTGTTCTATTCCATCAGAATGTGACTGATCATGGCTCTTCACAAACTCCATTCCCCTGAAGCTTTTAATAGTGTTTATCCCCTTAATTTCCCTCCTAATAAATTTTCTGCCATCCATTTACACAAGCTCATTAGGTAGCTTACTGTTTCCTTCTGTCTCTTGACTTCACTATGTCCTGTGAGTATTATATTCTTCAAGACTTTTCTCATTATGTATCCTGAAACCTTCAAGCATCTCTAAGTACAAATTTTGTCTCATTTTCTTTAAAACTTCTTTGTTGCTAATGTTTTTGGCCCAGAGTGTCATTCTACAGAGCAATAGCTCAGTTGCTTGAAGCTTCTGCTTTATCTGTGAGGAAGTCATCCAGGATTTGAAGAGTTTTAATATTTTGTATGTAATTATTCAATAGTTTTTTTTATAACTATTGAATAATTACATATTGCATTCACTGGTGCAGTTGAAGCTGTTTTATTGTCCTTTGGGGTAATGTTGTGCCAATATACAGCTTCCAAAACTGAACACCGCGTTCTCGTCGCAATGCGCTTTATTGTACGATGGGATCTCTCAACTATCCCATTCCCCAATAGTACATGGGCACAGCGAAATCATACTTGTACATTCCACATCTTTGCAAACGCGGCAAACCTCTCTCCACAAAATGCTGCACCATTATCTGTAAGCAGCTCAATCGGCGACCATCTTTCACAAAACACTACTTCCAACTGCTTGATGATGCTAGCAGAGTCTTGGCAGTGCAAGGGCTTCCAAATGACAAAACAAATGGGGCCTCAGTCTATCAGCATCAGGTATAGTTGATGTCCAAAATCGATTACATCCATCGCAACCCTGTGCCAATTTTCCGCGACATCAAGCCTGCCCGGTTTCCAACGCACAGGGGCCGGGTCGATTGACTGGCATTCCTTGCATCCCCTAACCACCGCCCGCACCTTAGCTTTTTTTACTCTTGGGTTGATCAACTTCATAAAATAGAGTGTTCTCTTCACACCAGGATGTCTGCTGGATTGATGAATGGCTTGTACTTGAGAAACATTTCGCTCTTCAGCCACAGTGCACATAGGTTCTCTGGGTTCCGTTATTTTGCGCATTTCATTTAACCATCGCTGCGGTACTCTAGTAAGTTGGTTGGCTCATTTGTTGTACGACTTGACAAGCTCTACATCAATGTCCAGCTCGTATTCTAAGGCCAACTCTTGGAGTGTGGCTAGCCGACGTCTGATTAGCATTTCGTAGGCTGCCTTGGTGCGTACTCTCGTCCGTCCGGACAGGGTGTCAGCTTCAGGTCAAAGGCCATAATGCCGAAATAGCTTGTGAGAAAATGGGAATTAGGAAAAAAAAACAAAAAAAACTCCTTCTTGCGAAACTAAAATGAACGCCTTCTTGCGAAACTGAAATGAACGTACAGCCCTTCCGAACGAACACTTTACAACAACAAACAAGCAAACAGCACCCACGACTGCTGCCAACCAATGGATGACAAACCGCAATGGCTTTTGTTGCCCCCCACCAAAAAAAAAACATACCAAATGATTCGCGTGTCTTCTTCTTGTAGTCCTCGGTCGAGTCCATTATGCTATTCCAAGGTGTGCCCGGCGAAAACACACACACGCAGTTTGAGGACGCTTCCACGCATGCTATCACAACCATCGACAGCTCCCAAATAGTTCCATCTACCTAGTTTCTATCACAAGGCTTGGGCCAACATTTTCTTTCCTTTCAGGCTGATAACATCAAGACATCACCTTCTTTTGGACTCAGCTCTCATGGTCAGAAATCATTCTAACCATGTAGCCTTGTGACAATTTCTGATTACCACATTGTGAAAAGATCATTTCAAAATGAGCATTTTAGTTTCATAATTATGACAAATGATCATGCAACAATGAAAGTCATTTTCTTCATCAGATGACAATCTCATATGTTGCATATATTCTAAAAATAAAAACTTGAAATCTGTCTGAAGCTCATTGTTATAGAAAAGAACAGGGTATGAACATTTTTGATTTGACCAAATGTGAGAATCTTAGGTGCCTATTTCAACTGCTAGTACTGGGCAGACATATTCTGACTGCTTGTATTGACCATTATTGTGTTGGCAATCATTTGCTACCTGCTGGTGTGTTGGCAAGCGTTTGGTGATCAGTGGTATGTTGGCAACCATGTGAGTATTGATGGCAGTTTGGTGACCATTGGTTTTGACCATTGGCAACCTTGTTCAAATTTTTCCACTTATAGATCAAAATCAGAATACATTTCAAATGTTACCAATTCTTCATTAAAGGTTTTTCCTTAAATCTTGTCACATTGTCATTTCCTCACTTGAAACAATTCAATGTTTTTGTTCAGTGACAGTTATATTTCCCAGGTCATTATTATTATGACTAGGTCTAGTTGTAGAGTTACTGAGCATCTGACCAGCTCCCTCCATATGTTTCAGTTGCATGCCAATATTGAAGTATCTGTGAAGGATCTTCCAGTTCACTCAGGGATGTTTTTAGCTTATTTTTTTTCTTTGTCCATCTTTGACTCATGTGGCACCTTGTAGGATGGCTGTGCAATGATTGTTAGCTCTTATGGTGAGTCCATACCATTTCAACTTCCTCTATTTGACAGTGATTATGATGTCTTACAACATGTCCGATGGTGTTGTGCACTGTGTCATTTTTGATGTGGGCAATATAGAAGATTGCTAAAATACTTGAATCTTTCGCTGTACTTCAAGCTGTTAATGTCCACAGATTTGCAGCTGAACAGAAAGATTGAGAACACCAATGCATACAACAGTCAGATCCGTGACTTCAAGCAGATTTTCTTGTCTATCCAGATATCTTACATTGTGCTGCTCTTGAAAATATTTCTATTTTGGATCTCACTTCATTGATAATCAAGCCAAGATATTTGAATTGGTTTACCACATCTTGACTTTTAGTAAGCAGTTGGTCTTATCTTTTATTATTATTCAGGCTACTATCCGCAACACTTTTGTTTTCATAATATTTTAACCAATGTGTTTCATCATATATGTGTTCATCTGGTATTTGCACATCTGCCTGTTGGAAGCACCTCTCCTGACTGAGAAAAACATTGTTGTTTTATAGTTATCTCAATCCCAGACTCATGCTGACTATTGACTAATACCTGCCTAGTACTGTTCATATGCAAATAGTCAGTGCCACCTACTCTAAGTAGGTCTACTCTCAACCGCCTATTGTGGAAGAGGATGCATCTCTCAGTGCTTCTGGCATCACCTACAACCAACTTGGAGTCTTTTCTCAGGCTGACCTGATTCTCTGTTACAGATATTAGGGTGATTCATAAGTCATTTCCATTTTTGGGGACCAACTGTAATGACAAATGTATCATTCTAATTACTAATCATATGAGGCCCTTAAGAATAAATTACTACTTTATTCTTTGTATGCCAATGGCAGTATACACAGTGGATTAATGGGAAAATGTTCTTTACAACAATGCAAAGCCATGTACAGTAAGAATAACAGGAAAAACTTATCGAAATTGGTTGGGATGTCCTACAGCATGCAAGTGATAAATTGTCATCTAAATTATGCAAAAATGAAAATAACACTGACATCTCATTTTAACAGATATATTTACCAAAATTACACAAAAATATCTTGAAATACTAAAGAATAAATTTATTCAATAAAATTACCATTCGCTTCAACCATAGCCTTCAGATGACTTCAGAATCTCCTGTAACTCTTCTGCATGGTTTTGTTAAGCTGGTGAATGCTGCCATAATACTTCCCTTCAGTTCATCTTTGGTGTTACAAGGAGTTTTGTGGGCTTTTGCTCAACTGTGCCCACAGTCTGGGGAGTTAGGTAACCAGATGCAATGGGTGATGTGGTCTCAGAAATTGTCTGACAGCCATGACTGGATTCTCCTGCTTGTTTCGCATGGTGCAGAGACCTGTTGCTAAACATAGGGTCTTCCAGCAGCTACCCTATGAACCCAGGGAAGCACTGTCTCCTCAAGGCATTTAATAAATATAAAATATAAACAATTTACTCAATACACCCTATATCTCACCTGCCATATTCCCTTGATGTTGTAGCAACTAAATATTACTGTTTTTGATTGCTGGTCTCACCATTTATTATTCTTTGGCCTCTATCCTCAACTTTGTTTTCATAATATTTTGGCCAAGGTGCTTCATCATGTATGAAAATATTAGGTTGAGTCAGAAGTAATTTTTATTTTGGTAAACAATTATAATGTATAACTAAATAAATGTATAACTAGACATATGGATCAGTTAAAAAATAAATAAAGTCATGTGACTCAAATAGAGACCTTCAACTTTGAAACTAAACAGATTTTGTATATATCTGAGAAAAACTTGAAAATTTATCAAAAAATTTATTTAAAAAAATATTCTGAGGAATATTCAAATAATGAGAGATTGACCATTGTTTTTCATGAAATTTTGACTCAATATATTAGGTTGGATCACTATTTACATTATTCGGACTATTGTCCTCATCTGTCACCATATTTATTACAACGTTTCAACAGTTGTACACTCCAGCCTTCTTCAGGTGGTTGGAATGTCAAACTGAAACCTTTATTTCACTCACTGGGGTAGACTGTTCTAGTTTCACATGTCATGTTTAATGGATGTTAGTTATCAGTTATCTTCTGTTAATTCCTCTCTCCAAGTTCTCCACTACCTTAACCAGGTATTGAACTCACACTCTTTGGGTCCTCTCATTGGATCTAACTAACACCTTTATCCACTGTGCCATGTGTCCTTGATGACATCTTTGTATGAATTTCTGGGTATTATAAAACTTATGTCTTCAGCAATCATTTTTTACCAGTGCTCATATTACAATTTTTGCTGTTATCATTGCATGTTTTTTTACCAGAGCTCATATTGCATTTTTTGTTGTTGTTATTGCTTTTCTCTGACA